GATCCTGGGCCCCACCACGCTGGGCTACAACAGCCCGGAGCACCTCGCCCAGCGCCAGGGCCTGCCCTACGTGGCCCCCCACCAGGTCCGCCGCCAGTTCTACCGCATGCTGCTCCGCCAGGTCGCGCGCATCGGCCTGCAAGTCGACTACGGCCGACGAGTGGAACGGTACTTCGAAGACGAGGCCGCCGGGGTCGGGGGCGTGGTCACAGCGGACGGCAGCGTGCGGGTGGCGCACCTGGTCGTCGCCGCGGATGCCTTCAAGACGCGCTCCGATCTCCTGATCGCCGGCGAGCACGCGCCCACGCGCTCCAGTGGCATGTCGGTGTACCGCGCGGCGCTGCCAACGGCGCTGGCCCTGCGAGATCCCGCCTTCCAGGCCCGCTGGGGCGAGGTGGTGGCGCGCGGGGAATCCCACCACGAGTTCTGGATTGGGCCCGGCATGCACCTGGGGCTGTTCATCTCGCCGGACTTTGTGGCCTACGGGCTGACCCCGCGCGACAAGTTCCTGCAGCCCGGCGGAAACGAGCCCATCGAGTCCTGGGATCCCGACGTCGACCCGCAGGAGGTGCTGGACGTCCTGCACCGCATCCCGGAGTGGGATCCGGCCATCGAGGGCCTGATCCGCCACACGCCCCCGCGGGCCACGGTGCACTGGCCGCTCCTGTGGCGGAATCTCCGGCGCGAGTGGACGTCCAAGGCCGGGCGCGTGGTGCAGGTCGGCGACGCCGCGCATACCACCGTGCCCGCGTCGATTAGCGGGGGCACCCTGGCCATCGAGGACGCCGTCACGCTGGCGGCGTGCTTGCAGCTCGCATGCGCCGGGGGTGCGCCGGGCGGTGCGCCGCTGGGGGCGCGCATCTACAACCTCCTGCGCTACCAGCGGGTGAGCTGCGTGCAGAAGATGTCGTTTGTCAATTCCGAGAACCTGGGGGCCGCCGATATGAATGAGGTTCTCAAGAAAGACCCCGAGAAGGTCAAGGTCCGGTTCCCCAAGTGGCTGTTCCAGCATGATCCCGAGGCGTATGTTTACGAGAAGTACGGCCAGGCGTACGCGCATCTGGTGCTCGGGGCGGACTTTCAGAACACGAACTTCCCCCCCGGCCATGAGTTCAAGATGTGGACGATTGAAGAGATCCATGCGGATATCCTGGCGGGGAAGAAGGTGGCGGACCTCTTGGATGGCGATTGGGATTAGCCAGGTACTGCGCCGAGGTGGCAGTGTCTCCTGGTGCTGTTGCGCCGTAGCAAGACACTTCATTCAATGGTTATCTTATTACTCCCCACGTATCTTCAGGTTGAAGAAAGTAAGATGTAATGCCTACCACAGGCCTTCGTCTCTTTGTATCTGGGTCTCGCAATTGATCCGATGGGGGATCGAGGCAGCTTTGCATTCACACTTACAACCAAATAGAAACGACTCTCCCATTCATCTACGATACAACTCTCTTAGGATACATCTCTCCAAGCTTGGATTCTCATCACAACACTCAATACGTAAAAATAGCTTGTGATTTGGAAATATATATAATAGTACTAATTACGCATCCAAGCATTATGACTGCTCGTGGAACAGGTACACTGGGCATAAAAATCAGTCCATACATCTGGATTCAGTGTCTAAAGATATAGACCTCATATAGTATCATCTGACTCATGATAATCAATGGAGGGCTGGGGCCATCGGGGATTAGAAAGTGCGAGGCTTGGCATGTGGCGGGGGTTCCTCGGCTCTTATAAAACCCGACGGTCTCCCTCTCCTCTCCCTATGCTTACTTACCAGCCCTTCCATTCTTTCCTTCTTCACCCAACTCAACCATCGTCGGGCTTCGGGCAATCGGGTATAGTGACAGTTCTCGTTTTCTGTCATGGACACGCCGATCTCTGTATCCGATCAGACAGCCACCGCCGTCAAGCCCCAGCAGCCCCGACGCGTGCTGGCGTGCGTACTCTGTCAACAACGCAAGATCAAATGTGACCGCACATTCCCCTGCACCAACTGTGCCCGAGCCAACGTGCAATGCGAGCAAGCCGTTCGTCAGCGACGGCGCAGATTTCCGGAGAAAGAGTTGTTGGCCCGCCTGCGACTCTATGAGGGTCTACTCCGACAGCACAACATCAAGTTCGATCCCCTCCACACCCCAACCGCTGACCATCGGTCTCCCAGTGACGATGGCCGCGATGACCTGCCAGAGGGGGGCGACTCAGAGGGCACTCTGGGTGAGAGAGAGAAGCCCGCCGTCAAGACCAAGTCACTGTATGAATTCCTGTCCTGCATTTACTTAATTATCAGGGGATGACTAAGTGTCTGCGAGAAACCTCTGGCATGCGATGAGCCAAAAGGTAAGAGGGATTTCTACGTCGACAAGGCTTGGAACTCACTGACCACCGGACCAGCCTGTAAGCCCTGGAGACGACGATGGCAACGAGGGTGAGGACGACGAGAATGACACCGGTTTCCTGCACGATACGGACGATGTGCGGCCCGCCGTTATCCAGAAGGCGTGGAACCACACCTTTCAAGGCCAAAACAACGACCACCTCCTCTTTGGTGCGCCGGTAGGCACCGTGGATCTTTCCGCTTCGCATCCAAGCCAAGTGCATATCTTCCGGCTGTGGCAGGTCTACCTAGACCAAGTGAATCCGCTGCTCAAAGTCACTCACACCCCCACCCTGCAGACACGGATCATTGATGCTGCCAGTGATATCGCCAACATCAGCCCCACCTTAGAAGCGCTGATGTTCAGCATCTACTGCGTCTCCCTTTCGAGTCTCTCGGGCGAACAATGCAGTGTGCTTTTTGGAGCCGCGAAAAAGGAACTTTTGACCGGCTATCAGTTTGCGTGCCAGCAGGCGCTTCGTGATTGCGGGATTCTACGCTCCAGCGACCGCGAGTGTCTGACCGCCCTGTATCTGTATCTAGTAAGCCTGGCTGGCTGGGGCCGTGTGAATGTGCTGTACTGAAGTGGTGCAGGTTTCCATTCGCCCTGACACCGATCCCGCATCCCTGTCTTCACTTCTGAGCGTCGCGATCCGAATCGCCCAGCGCATCGGCATCCATAATGAGTCGATGTACGGCAAATGCTCCGCGCTGGAGGCGGAGATGCGCCGTCGGCTGTGGTGGTCGCTCATCATCTTCGACAACCGCGTCTGCGAGATGTCCGACTATAAGACGGCATCGCTGGCGCCGACCTGGGACTGCAAGGTGCCGCTCAACGTGAACGACTTCGAGCTGCAGCCGGAGATGAAAACGGCCCCCGCCCCCAACAACCGGCCCACGGAGATGCTGTTCGCCGCGGTTCGCAGCGATCTCGCCGACTTCGTGCGCCACAGCGCCTTCCACCTCAACTTCACCAACCCCTCCCTCAACACGATCGCCTTGCGTCCCACCGAGGAAGCCGAGCGACTGGTCTCGCTGGAAAAGACCATGGAGGAGAAATACCTGGCTTTCTGCAATCCCGAGAACGCCCTACACTTCATGACCCTCTGGACGATGCGGGGGTCCCTGGCCAAGAGCCGGCTCCTGCAGCACTACTCCCAATGCTCAAGCACCCCCGAGCCACCGACCGACGCCCAGCGCAACACGGGCCTCGCGCACGCGCTGCGCATGCTCGAATGCGATACGAAGCTCATGACCTCGCCACTCACGCAGCCCTATCGGTGGCTGGTGCACTTCCACTTCCCGTTCCCGGCGTACATCCACCTGCTGCAGGATCTGAAGAAGCGGCCCGTCGAGGCCCATGCCGACCGCGCGTGGGCCGTCATGAGCGACAACTACACGGTGCGGATGATGGAGGCCAGCCAGGACGATCGGCCGTTCTTTATCGTCTTCTCGCGGATTGTCCTGCAGGCGTGGGAGGCGCGGGAGAAGGTGGCTGTGGCAGCCCAGCTCGAGACGCCGCCGCCGGTGCCACCACGGATGGTCGTGGATATTCGGAACAAGGTGATGCAGATGACGACCAGTTTTGGGCTGGATGCGGCTGCTGCGGTGCACTCGAATGGGGTCGTGGGGGTCAGTGCCGAGGATCTCGAGATGGACTTTGCGGCGCCAGAGATGGCGTACGGCCCTGGCGGGCACGGCGCGACTGGGCTGGAACCGTGGGGCTGCCTCGATATGGCTGGGCCGGCGGCTGGGGATGTGGGTGCGAATCAATTTCTGTTGAATACCATGGAGTGGAATGCGCTGCATGCTCGAGGCAAGTGAGAGGCTTCTTGGCAGAGGTGTGAGGTCATGAGTGTCAATGATTAGTACCGCTTATGGCTTGACATGATAAAATTGATGATCTACGCAATGTTGGAAGGTCCATGGCGAGGCGATGGCTGTTCTATTGTGAGGGCGATTGGTAGTGCTGATAAAACTCCTATCTTAGCTGAAGTGAAATGGAATATGCTGGATCTTGATAGATCAGGCGTTCTGGCCCGAATACTTTCCTGCATTTCATGTTATAGTTGCTGCTCCTGATGTTTGTTTATACTGGGTATACCTGTACGCTCGTCTGTCATCACATAGAATACTGCTTATGGTATGTATAAAGATAGTTCACGCCTACACATTTTCCATATCTCCAGCAACTCTCATTCGGTGCCAACATTGAGTCTAGTCCGGGTTACCCTTACAATTAAACATGACACACGTATTCCGAGCATGCTAGTCGCAATTTGTTTCCAGAATAGCTCTGTGTCACATCCATCGTGCATCTCAACTTCCGAAGCACGGATTCCGAAATGCGAGCCGTCTGCTAGACATGTCTGGCAGGCATGCTTGCCGATCCTTGAACCTTGCATGATCGGCGGGGGACTATCTCCACGAACAATCAATAGTCCAACCTTGTACTCCGTAGTGGACTTGGTACTCTCAAATCGAGAATTCCAGGGGTAAGGGATTCAAGCATAAATACCCCCGTCAAGAATGATCCTGCTGCCCGCCCAGAAAAGGAGCCCTAGTCGTCACCTTCTTTCCTTCTGTGGCACAGCATCTGCTTTCGCCAAAGCCAATCAATATGAGAGCTACTGTCCTTCTATCCCTTGTTCCTTTTATCCAGGGCGTGCTGTGCGCTACAGACGTCTCAGGTGGCTCACCTGCGACGATCAACGACCTTCCCTACCTCGTCAGCGTCCTGCGATCCGGCTCTCCCACCTGCGGTGGTGTGCTCATCGCCAACAATCGTGTTCTCACGTCTGCCCAGTGCGTCTATGGGGCCGAGGCATCTCCCTCGAGCTTTTCAGTGAGGACTGGCTCCAGCCAGACATTGTCGGGAGGATCTGCATTCACGGTATCGAAGATTGCTCGACACTCTCAGTTCAACCCCACCACCTACGATTACGACGTCGCCGTGCTTACACTCATCACCTCCATCACTCCGGGTCCGACGGTCGCGTTGATTGATCTGGTTCCGTCTGGCCAGGAGCCCGCGGTGGAGACGGAATGCGTTGCTTCGGGGTGGGGGGACTTGGAGAGACAATTGCAATCGGTTACGCTCCCGATCGTGGACCGAGACACCTGCGATCAGGCATATGGCGGCCGAATCACCGACCGTATGATCTGTGCTGGCGGCGAGGCTGGGAAAGGAACCTGTCCCGGAGATCGCGGGGGGCCGCTTACTTGCGGTGGTCAAATCGCTGGCATCATCTCCCAGACCAATGGATGCGACCTGCTCGGTCTTCCCGATGTTTTTACCGATGTGGCAAACTCCGGGATTCAAGCTTGGATAAAGAGTCAGTGATTGTAATCTAGCTGGCAAAAAGCTCGATGTGGGGAAATCTCAACACGGAATTGATTGGGTCGTGATGTATCCGATGATCGACGCCACTATTGAAAATGGAAATCTGATTTCCCTGCGCTCGCAGTAGACATTGCGTCTAGCTTCTTGGGTATGAACATGGTGGAGAGGAGGCATCAGAGGGAAATAGCTACGAAAGCTTCTTGGTGATCCTATTAACGCAAGCTTCGTATGTGGATGTGATGGGGTGGTTGAAGATCGGGCCTATCGCGCACACGCATATTTACATATCAGGTTGAACCATGACCGTCCTGGCCTGCAGAACGGAAGAGTGCAGAGGAAGCGTGCCTGCAAGTCCGATGTCCAACACATTGCCCATGATCCGCTATTTTTAATGGGCTGTTTCCGTAGAAGCACTGAAATGACCTCTCACACCCAGGTTCCTGTTCAGTTATCATATGCCTCACACACCTCATTGCTCTTTTTGGGCAGGCGTCATCCATGCCATTCAATCCTCATGAGCATGACGAGGCTTGTCAGATACATCCCGTTCCTCTCGTAAGACGCGAGCGTGGCATCGCTTTACTTGGGGTCACTATCCTCATGCAATGAGGCTCTGGCAGTTCAGCTATATGCGCCAAGACGCAATACGAAAGCCACCGGGGGAGCCGAAACGCTGGGGAAATCCACCATCACCACCACACCACCCCATCGTCACTTCGTACTATGTATATCAACAGTCTCAACACCTTCCACAATGTATCTGAGCTCGACTGACATACCCGAATTACGAGGGTTGGCATCGGCGACGCCGATGATGTGCTGTGAATGGGGTCCGGATACACCAGACGCGGGCAACGTTTCCGGCTATATAAACAACCTTCTGGTCGCCTGGACACAGAGTTGAAGCATCACCGTCGGCACAACATCTCTGACAACGCCCATCCGCTTTAGCTTTATATCTTCGAAGATCCCCTCAATAAAAGCACCCTACCACGTAAACATGTCTCGCTTCGTGAACAGCCTCACCGTACGTCGTCCTCCATTCTATTACCCCCGCCTCCCCTTCCAGCCCACCCAACTAACCCAAACATCCAGGTCGACGACCGCGACGACCGCGATATCCCACCGACCTGCATCCAGATCATCGACGGAAACAACCCCGACATTAACGCCGGGTTCGGTGGCAAGTAAGCGCTCCCTAGCCTCATATCTTCGAACGAACAAAACCATCTCATCCATCCCACCCCATTCCCCACCTCAAAGTATTCACCTGCAACCAGGTTTGTCTACATCGTCGTCGGCCACACCTCCAAGCCCGAGTTCGCCCTCACCGACATCCAGATCCTGGTTCAGGAGGACGAGAATAAGGACTACCACGATCTGGCCAAGGGGGCGGGCGGGGCCTACCGCTACATCCACACCCTGCAGGGCACGGGCGCCCCCATCGTCGATGTCAAGCTGCTGCGGCGGGCAGAGAAGGTCGAGCTGTCTACGGTCCAGGCGCTCGGGTATAGCCATATGACAGGGGACATCAATGCGGGTCGCGGGGGGGATTATTTGCATATCATCTGGAAGACGGCTTGAGCGGTGTTGGGTCCTTTTGTGGTCAGACATGCCGGAATGAGTGACGTTGGGAGTTTTGCCATCTGTCTATGACCTTTGAGTGTATTGAGATGTGAGGTAGAATGAGAATGAACAAGGTTGATGCGGACTTGGCTAGACGTGATCCTAAAGAGACAGCTATTGCACTACTTGACAGTCCATACCGCCGCGGCGGGGCTGTGATACAATGGCTAGGTAGCCATCGGACGCTCTCAAACGTGCTCAGCTTGGGCGGTCATCAGTTCCCCGACAATTTGTGGCCGGCGACAGAAGAGGGAACATGTCCATCTTTATTCGGGCCAGCGTTGACTATTAGGGCATCAATGATGTCTCTGCCATGCATTAGATGGCACTGTTTGCGTTGAAATATATCATGACGTCGCTAGTTGGTGGAAAGTAGGAAGAGACAGGGGACGAGGAAGTAGTCGGAAGCTAGAAGAAGGAGGCCAGCAGCATGGCCTTGGCTCTAGATGACGATAGCGCCCGAGTCTTAAACCCTGATTGCTAGATCTGACTATTCGTGTCGAATTTCCGGTTTACATTAGCGTTCCGGCAAATCTACATATATTTATATGCTCCCTCGACCTCCGCGACTACAAAGACTCTGTCCTTCACCAGCCGATTCCTTGATGACCACATATAACGGACCTTCAAACACATCTCCCGTACTTCATCGCAATGTCCCACCTGATGACGTTATGTCTAGCGACTGTCATTTACCTCACCGGCATCGTTATCTACAGGCTCTATCTTCACCCCCTTGCCCAGTTCCCCGGCCCATGGCCGGCCAAAGTGTCTGGCCTCCACGCGCTCTACTACGCCTGGCGCGGCGACCGACACTTGATGCAGGCTCGAAGTCATGCACGGTATGGGGATTATGTGCGCCTCGGACCCAACTACCTGTCCGTCGCCAGCGACCTCGGGCTGCAGGAAATTTACGGGACCAGAGCAAACGTGCAGAAGTCGTCGTTCTATCACGCCTTTGTAGCCCAGAAGGGCGCCTGGAGCACATTTACGAGCATTGACAGATCACTGCATGCACGGAAGAGGTGCGTCTAACCACGGCGAGCAGGTATTCGCAGCTGGGATGGCGCGCTAATTCCTCGTCGTAGACGTGTGCTTGCCCCCGCCATGACGGAGAGGGCATTGAAGTCGATGGGGCGGCGTATCAACCAATGCATCGACATTTTCGTCACACAGCTAGGGCGCAACGCCGATGCAGAGAGCGGATGGACGCCTGCGGTCAACATGTCGGAGCTGGCGGATCATGTGGCCTTCGACATCCTCGGCGACCTGGTCTTTGGGGAGGGCTCCTTTCAGATGCTCACTAGCCGTGCCAATCGGTACATTGTGGACTTGATTGTGGCGACTTCCTACTGGGCCCTGCTGGTGGTTCCCCCCCCCCTCTTGTGCCCCTTCTCAATTGCCACTCTTCCGTTCGAGGCACTGTGCAGGGAAAGACTCAGACTGATACGCTTATTAGGTCGGCACCTTTCCCCTACTCCGTGCGTTACCAATCATTCCGCTCTGGTTCCCAGAGCTCACGCGCAAACGACAAGCATATCTTTTGTTCTGCCAAGAGAAGGCGTGTCAGCGGATGGCGAAGGTCGGGGCCCCCGGTCCCTCACCCGAGGAGCACAGCGACCTGCTTCTTCATCTGCTCAGTGGAAGACGACATAGCGATACCCACAGCCACCGGTTTCCCGACGACCAAGAACCAGAACCAAGTGCATCATCCCCACCGTCCACGGCGGAAATCTGGGCGGAATGTCGAACTCTGATCGTCGCCGGCGCCGACACCGTCGCCACGGCGCTGGCCGCTCTCACCCACTACCTCGTACACAATGAGGGTGCCTACCACCGACTTGAAGAGGAGATCCTGACGGCCTGTCCCCGCCTCCACGGTGAGGATGATGGTGATGATGATAATGATGATGATGCCGGCCACCGGCCAGAGGTCCGCTTCCCGGGCCCCAGACCGGCCCAATGCCCGTACCTGGACGCATGCATTGACGAAGCCCTGCGCCTCAGTCCGCCCATCCCCGGGCCCCTGCCGCGCGAGGTGCTGCGAGGTGGGATGGCGCTGGGCCGCGGCCGGTTTGTGGTGCCGGCGGGGACGGTGGTGGCGACGGCGGCGTACGCGCTGCATCGCCATCCGCGGTACTTTCCGCAGCCGGAGGTGTTCTGGCCGGAGCGGTGGATGGCGGGGTCGGCGCCGGGGGTGACGCTCGCCACTGTGCGGCGGGCGCGCCAGTCATTCTGTCCCTTTGGGGTTGGGGCGCGCGGATGTGTGGGACAGTCGCTGGCGTATGGAGAGCTGAGGACGCTGGTAGTGCGGATGCTTGGACGGTATCGCATCCGCTTGTGTCGGCAGGTGAGGGTCGGGGAAGGTCCGAGTGCTCGGGAGATTGGCGTTGGTGTTGCTACTGATGCTGGTGCTAGTGCTGGTGCTGGTGCTGGTGCTGGTGCTGGTGCTGGTGCTACGCTGGCAGATGCACATGCAGATGCAGATGTGACATCGGTCCAAAGGCAGGGCGACGGCGTGAGCAAAGAAGGGGAAGAATACAGAATGCTCGACCGGTGGACGGCCCAGCGGGACGGCCCATTCGTGGAGTTTCAGTCTCGACCGCGGTAGGGGGTGAGATGGAACTTTGGAGGGCTGTAGTTATGATAATCTTAGGGCTTCATTGCGTGAGGCGCTTATCTTCACGGAACTATAGGGACTATCTGCATGGCGTGCATGCGGGGGTGAATCAATTGAGTCTGCTATCACTTGTTGTACTGTCACTGATACCGTGGACACGTACATACATACACACATACAAACATACATACATACATCCTTACACACGTCCATACATACAGACACACATACACATATACCACCTTCCAATACATACACATGTCCATACATACTTCCTTACCCACGACTGCGAGACGTGAGCAGGGACTCCACCCCCCCTCCTGTCTAGTACCCTGCAGGAATGGATTTTTAACACTTTTGGGTCTGACTCCTCTTTCTCTCTGCTGAGCTCCAATTCTGCGGGATGTGGTGATTGACGCAGAGGCTAACTAGTTATCAGCCACCCACGCTTAGGACTCTCTCGGGGTTTCTATTTCACTTGCAATTCAAGGGTTTCTTGATTTTCTTCTAATATCCGATGGATTGCATGCTGAATAGACACACAGACCCGGGTGACTTGTCAAGCGGCCTAGACGATACGGTATCGTGGTGAGGTCCTTCTTGAACCGTGACTGCGGAATTGGGGAGCGGAGTATGGCTGCCTCCGTCCAAGAACGACCCCGATTGATTATGTCGGGGCAGAAGGCGCATTGACTGATGAGCATTCAGGGAAGAAGCGACGGAGACGTAATCCCTGGACTGCCTTTATTCCCAATGTCATTTTTCTGGACTGTTATGGTCAAAGCCGTTGGGAATTGCGCCCTAAGATACCTGCAGAGATCCAAGCGAGTATGAAAACCAGGCAGTCAATCTCCGCTTGAAGAATTTAATTTTGGCACAGTACAAACAAAAAAAAAGACTCAAGAATAATAAACTAGATCCAATGTCATTGATTCCCTTCACCCCTCCGAGCCAAGTTGTATTTGCTACGTCGCCATCCAACCCACTCCCAACGTCTTCTCTTGCCCTCTCCCTCGCCGTCTTCCCCTTATGTCTACAAAATCGAGGCTCAGTGATATCGACTGCGCTGTAACATCGCATGGTGCTCAACATGCCCCTCCGGAGTCACCGACCTCTCTGGCACCCCGTCGCGGAACTCCAATGCGCGCGGTGCCAGCCAGCTCTCCACACTGTTCCAGTTGACGCACAGGTGGTTGGCCGCCGTGCGGTTGATGAGCGGCTTATGCTCGTTGTCTGCGCCGAGGAACCAGCCCGAGAGCGCCACGTCGGCGCGGCACCGCACGCCCTGTAGCAGGACGTTGACGCAGTGGTCTGGATTGAGTGGGGATTTTTACAGTCAGTCTTTCTTGTCTCACCCAGATGTCCTCCCCCCGTTTGTAGGAAATCAGGGTGATGACGAGGGGACGGGAAAGAGAATCGGAACTCACCGCGGTCCTTCTCGGTGATGTTCTTGGCAATCCGCACGTCTTCACGGCTGTATTGGCGCTTCAGCCAGTCCTGAGATGGAGAATGTGGTTACCAATGGAGATCCATCGCACGCGAACGAAAAGAGACAACGAGAGACAACCAGAACATAAATGAAAAGGAGAGAGACCGACCATGCAGTGCAGCTCCCCGTACACCCGGAGATAGGCCAGGTAACCTCCGTTCTCCAGTTCGATGGAGTCGTCGCCGTACTCGCCCCATTGAATCATCTCGTCTTTCGTGGCGCGGAAGAAGGATTCTGTCGCGGTTAGAGTTTGTAGAGCACTCGGAGGAGAGGAGGTTGGGTGGTGAAAGATAGAGTTGGAGACAAGGCGGAAGGGAAGGGATAGAGGCCGGCATCCTAGCAGGCAGACAGAGGATGCGGAGGACTGCATACTCCTCATGAGATTATCCCAGCTTTCTTCCAGCTCGGGTCGTGGATCGCCGCCATAAGGATTGTACGCGTAGATGTCCATGACACTCGGCTCATAGTAGATGCCCGTCTTCAGCGGCGCTATGTGGTAAGATCAAGCAGTCAGCAGAGCACACGGGGCTGTTGTTTCCCACCAGTTCTATTCTGAAGGGGAGGTGAGTTTACACTCTGGCAGATCCGGACAGTAGTTCTTCATCGCAGCCGTCCAAGTGCGGCTGTTCACGTAGAAAATGGCATTCCCGATGATCAAGGTGAGGTTCATCAGGGTCAGGAACGGTAAGCGAGAGGGGAACCGACACCATTTTCTCCAGCCGAACCTGTGAGAAGTGTCTCCGGGCGGGAAGCCCAGCCGACTGTAGGAGTAGGACCGGCCTTGAGTTCTGCCCTTGATCATTTTTGAGGTGGATGAGAGTTTTCCTCCCTGGACTGGATTCGAGTTGGCACGAGAGGAGGAAAGCAGGAGGGGCGAAAGGGAGCAGGAAAGACTTTGGACTGTATACTGTGTACTGAGTACTGACCTACCGACCAGGAAGATTATTGCTATCGGCATACCAGTCAGCCTGCATGCACTGCACTGCACTTGCCAGTACTGGGTGGGTGGGAGATCAGAGAGTGCCCTCAAATTTCGACAACGCGGGGACAGCACTGGTCAGGTTTGGTAAGCAGTTGTAACAGTAGAGTACGGTACGGTAAAGTTTCTGTCCTGAATCAAAGTACGATACAGTACCTAGCTAGTACACTCAATGGTATGAAATGTAACAAGTCTCTGTATTTAACACAATAAATGTTGTCGATACCCTGTAACACATGCCGTCTCCACCCTTCGCCGAAGTCGGCAGCTCGTATATGTAGATGCAGATGAGCATACATATGTACAGTACCTATTAATTAACTTGTATCACTCCCTCTCTGTATTCAGCCGACAAGAGCTTGACTCCTCCAATCAGCTACCTACGTTAGTTCCCACCATAATTTAGGTCCAGGTGAACGTGTTTGTTGGTTGATGACACGAAAAACAACACGATAATCTCGGGGCGAAGCTGATAGCGGCTGCGCAGACGGCTGGGGTGCAATTCGATGAAGCAGTGAAGCACAAGACACCACACTCCCTGACTCTGACAGCGAGGTTGCATTGGACTATTATTTTCAGGGTCGAGCTCCGTTCTATTGAGTAAGAGAGACACAAGACAGACCACAGTGCTGCTCCGGCTGGACTCCGTTCTGGGAGGCCCTACACCACACACGATGAACACCGAATTCTACGGCATCAGCCAGAGCGACTGGACTCGCATCAAGGCATGGAATGCGCACTGTCCCGAGGCTATCGACTATACTCTCCATGATCTCATCCATCTCCGGACGCAATTCCAACCCACGTTGCCCGCCATCCAGGCCTGGGATGGCCGGCTCACGTATGCCGCGCTGGACACCGTCACTACGCGCCTGGCGCACTGGCTGGGGACACAGGGGGTCCAGCCTGGCTCACGCGTGCCCATCGCTTTCATCAAGTCTTCGTGGGCGGTCGTCGCGATGATCGCCGTCATGAAGGCTGGCGGCGCCTTCCTTCCGCTCGACTGGTCCCAGCCTGCCAGTCGCACGCTGGAGGTCCTGGACCAGGTCCAGCCCACGGTGCTGTTAGCTTCGACCTCGCTTCTCGACCGCCTCTCAGGCATGCGGTTGCAGACGCGACTGGTCGCGGTGGATCAGAGTCTGGTGGATTCCCTGCCTATCGACGACCGTCCATTGAAGCGGTTGGTCTCGCCGACCGATCCGGCTCTTTGCATGTACACAGTAAGCCTCGACTGTCCTCAAGCCGAGCAAGGTCCGCGTGCTAACCGAATGATGTAGTCGGGCAGCACAGGCCGACCCACTGGGGTCCTGATCCAACACAGGGCCATCGCAACGGTGAGTGTGAGGGTTGGCCCGAGCTATCAGTATGGGCCCCAGTCGCGCGTGGCCCAGTTTGCCGCCTACATTTGGCTGGTGTGCGCCAACGAGATCTTCACGACCTTGGTCTGGGGCGGGCAGGTTTGCATCCCCTCGGAATCCCAGCGACTCGATGACCCTACTGGTTTCATTCGCGATCACGGAATCTCCCTAATCCATGCCACCCCTGCTTTTCTGACCTCCATCCAGCCCGAGGATGTTCCCTCGGTGCAGGTCATTGGAATCGGCGGCGATCGGGTCCCCGAGGAATTGGCGAGGAAGTGGTCCCAGTTCGCACACGTGGTTCTGGGTTATGGGTCTACAGAAACGAACCTGTGTATCAACCATCCCTTTCGTCAGATGGAGGAGGAGGAGGAGGAGGAGAAGAAGGAGGAGAGAATGGCGGGTACTCTGGCGGGGAAGCCCGTTGGCGCAGTGGCATGGATAGTGAAGGCTGGGAACCACGAGGAATTGTGTCCCATTGGCGAAATCGGCGATCTGGTGATCGAGAGCCACGGGCTTGCACTGCAGTATCTTGGTCAAGAATCGAAGACGGCCGACACTTTCATCACTCCTCCGGCCTGGAGTCGAACAATCCGCCCACGTGGAGAGACGCGATGGTGTAAAATAGGAGATAAAGCCTCGTACGGCACCGACGGCTCGATTAGGATCCACGGCCGAAATGGCAGTGTTGTGAAGGTTCGGGGCCAGCGCGTGGGATTGCCTGAGGTCCAGCGCGCCTTGGATAAATGCCTATCCCTGCCCAGTGTCGGGATCGTAGAGGCTATCAAGCTCAAAGCAGTCGAGGGGGAGGAGGCTCGACTGGTGGCTTTCCTCTTGACTCCCGGCACAAACTTGGATGCAATAAGTCCAGGACTGAAAGACCGTCTTTCCTCACTTCTTCCGGAGTACATGCTACCCACTGCATTTCTCCCCCTCGCTGAAATTCCAATGACAGCGAGTGGGAAGATTGACCGACCGCGACTACATGAGCTCGCTTCCTCCCTGAGCGTTGCAGACCTGGCAACCTGGGCCCCGCGCAGTCACGAAACCAGTGAGCCAACCTCGGTAAAGCTGACTGCTGAGGAGCTGCTTCTGCGAGAGATGTGGTCGAAGATCCTCAATGTACCGGCCAACCGCATTTCAGCCCATGACGAGTTCTTCAGTTTAGGCGGGCACTCCGTGTCGGCGATCCAGCTGGTGACTCTCGCACGACGTGCAGGAGTGAGCCTGTCGGTAGAAGGAATATTCAAGAACCCTCATCTTTCCAGCATGGCTCTGGTAACCGAACCCATGTCTACAGACGAGACAGCTACCGAACAGATTTTGCCTTTTGCTTTGCTTGAGGGAACTCCTTTACTGAAGGAGCGTATCATAGATGAGATCATCTCCACCACATCCATCTCATTGTCTGAGATCGAAGATATATACCCTTGTACCAGCCTACAAGCGGGTCTCTTCTCGTCATCTTTGAGGAATCCAGGCACCTATATCATCACATCCAGGATGTCCCTGCCGGACACCATTGATGTAGAGCGACTCGAGAGGGCATGGCGGATGGTGGTCTTCAAGACGCCTATTCTTCGAACTCGGCTGGCTCACACTTCAGCGGGATTTGTCCAAGTCGTGCTCAAAAATGATTTTGACTGGCAAATGATGGCCATCCCAAGATCCCCGCCATCTGAAGAGGAGAATCCGCATGAGCTTCATTCGGGCGAGCGGCTCACCCATTATCGTGTGACAAGGCAACAAGATACCGAGCCAAGACTCTTTACGTGGGAGATCCACCATGCGCTGATCGACGCCTGGTCGCAGCAAGCGGTTCTGCGGATGGTAGAAGCAGAATATCGCAACCATCCAGCGACCCGTGAGACTTGCCATGGCCATTTCAGCTCTTTCATCAAGTATGTCCTCCAGAAGGAGAGGGACGTTGGCACCGCCCAGTACTGGAGACACCAACTGGCTGGAGCTGCAGCTTTGCCCTGGCCTCCTCTTCCATACCCGAGATACCAACCTATTGGAGACTCAATCATCCGCCGAAGGATCTCCTTCGCTCCTCGAGCAAAGGGGTCCTCATTCACAACGGCAACTGTAATACGCGCAGCGTGGGCATTACTGTTGACCCAGTACGGAAACACAAACGATGTGATCTTTGGGGCCACAGTGAGCGGGCGAGAGTCCCCAGTGCCCCATATCGAGGATATCATCGGGCCAACCATTGCGACCTCGCCGGTACGGTTGCAGATTGATCGATCCCAGCCCGTTCATACGTTTCTCCAAATCGTCCAAGCTCACGCGGTGGATATGATGCCATTTGAGAGTTTTGGACTGCACAATATCCGCCGCCTAGACCCGGAGATTGCGCACGCCTGCGATTTCCAAACTCTACTAGTCATTCGTTCCTCCAATGAGGGGGAGGAGCAGGAGCTATTGGGGGAGCAGTTCCAGGTCGAGGCGTGGGATGGGTCCCTGACATACGCTCTAACCCTGGAATGTGCCTTGCTGGAGGACGGTGGGGCTTCGTGTCAAGCCACCTTTGACCAGCAAGTCCTTCCACCGGCCCAGATCGACCTTATCCTAGGCCAGCTAGAGCACGTATGTCGTTTGCTTGGCTCCGAGAATAGCAGCGAGACTTGCATCCATGACCTGGATCTGTTGAGCCAATCCGATCGGGAGTTGATTTGGGGTTGGAACTCGACCCTGCCGCCGACCATCAACCGATGCATCCATGATGTCTTCCGGGACGAGGTGGAGCACCATCCGGATGCGGTGGCTATTGATGCATGGGATGGATCCTTGACCTACAGGCAGTTGGATGAGCTCGCGACCAGCCTAGCTCATCTCTTGCAAGGCTCCGAGGGCATCGCAGTGGAGGACATCGTGCCAGTCTGCTTTCGCAAGTCGAAATGGACCATCGTAGCCATGCTGGCCCTGTGGAAGGCCGGAGGAGCCTTCGCCTCCATTGACGCCGGTCACCCCGCGTCCTGGATTAGAATGATCAGCAACAATGTCCAGGCCAAGCTAGCCCTATGCTCCCAGGAGGTTGCGCAGTCTTTTCCAGAGGGCACGCGTGTTCTAATCGTCGATGAGGCGCTCCTAGACCGCATTCCGCAAGTTCAGAGCCCACTCACCGTAAGTGTTCAGCCTGAGAACGTGGCGTATGTGATCCACACCTCAGGGAGCACGGGCGTACCCAAGGGCATTGTACACGAGCATCGCACCTACATCTCAGGCGTGGTGAACCGGATGCCCTCCATGTTTCGCAGCCGCCACTCGCGCGCCCTGCAGTTTGCATCCTACAGCTTTGACGTTTCCGTCGAGGATATTTGGACGACCCTGCTGGTGGGTGGAGTTGTTTGCGTGCCCTCCGATCACGATCGTGTCAATGACCTGGTCAATTACATGAATCGCACTAAAGTCAACTACGCCGAACTGACCCCATCTTTCACCCGAACACTATCCCCAGACTCTCTACCGCACCTGAAAATCCTCTCTTTGAGCGGGGAAGCCTCCACAGACGTGGACCGCGATCTCTGGGTATCTCATGTTACCCTGCTAGACGAATATGGTCCTGCTGAGATTGCCATCAAGAGCCACCTCAAACAGAAGCAGCCTGATTCCATGGCGTCCGACAAAGGACAGAGCGTGGCGTGTCTCAGCTGGATCGTTAACATCGAAGATCATCACAAGCTACAGATGGCTGGGGCTGTCGGGGAGCTAGTACTTGAGGGCCCTATCCTCTCGCGGGGGTATCTCAACCAGCCCACCAAGACCCGCGAGGTGTACATTGACAACCCGGCGTGGCTGCCGGCCTCGCGATACGGCCCTCGACGGCTGTTCCGGACCGGAGATCTCGCGCGATATAATCCCGATGGGACGGTCCATATTCTCGGGCGCAAGGATACCCAAGTCAAGCTCCGGGGCCATCGGATCGAGCTCAGCCAGGTAGAGTACCATGCGCGCCAACAGCTGCCACCGCATGTCGAAGTCGTCTGTGAGCTTGTCACGCTGGAAAGCGGCAGCAAAAATGGTAATATTGTCCTCTTCGTCTGCAGTGACCCAGCCCATGGGGCATTGAGCCGGGAGACTGTCATGTCATTTATCGACGCGCTGCGAGATCCCCTGAGCGCCGCCCTCCCTACCTACATGGTTCCATCCGCACTGGTGGCGTTGGATGTCCTGCCCGTCAACATGTCCAGGAAAGTGGACCGGATGAAGTTGAAGTCCATTGCAGGGACGATGCCCACGGAACAGATCTTTTACTTCTCGTCGACCACATCCCACTCAAAGCGAGAGCCTCAAACCGCCAGCGAGCGTCAGCTGCAGGCTCTTTGGGCCCAGGTGTTCGAGACCAATTCCTCCACCATCAGCGCAGAAGATAGCTTCCTCGAACGCGGCGGAGATTCAATCCTGGCCATCAAGCTGGTCTCGCTGGCTGGTCGAGCGCCGGATGCCCCAAAGCTCACAGTGCGTCAGATCTTCCAATATCCGGTTCTATGTGACCTGGCTGCCGCGATGGATGATCAGCCGACAACCGCTGTTGCAGCCCCGCCGGCATCATCGGTTCCTTTTGACTGTTTGGCGCGAGAGACCATTACGGTGATCAAGGAGGAGGTAGCGCAGGTCTGCTCCGTGCTGCCGGAGAAGATTGACGATATATATCCTTGCAGCCCCTTGCAAGAAGGTTTGATGGCGCTGTCAGAAAAGAACCCAGGAACATATATTTCACGGCTGGTGTTCGACGTGCGCCCCGACGTCAATCTTGATAAGTTTCATCACGCATGGTCACAAGTCTATGCTCGTACGGCTACCCTACGTACCCGTATCGTGCAATTAGAGAATCAAATGCTCCAAGTGGTAGTCCGAGGCTCGTTGGCGTGGGATTCTGCAGGTACTGTGGAAGAATTCTTGAACCGCACGTCCGACCTGACCATGGGGTCGGGTCAGCCTCTGTTTCAATGTGGAATCGTACATCGACTCGATAGCAGCCCATGTCTCGTTCTTGTCGCGCATCACGCCATTTATGACGGGTGGTCGATGCCTCTCTTGCTTGACCAGGTTACCCAGGCGTATAATGACGAGCCCCCGTGGGATCAGCCTGTGCCGGAATTTAAGCAATTTATCAAGTACCTGGGGACGATCGACCGAGATCAGCATGCGGCCTACTGGAGGGACCAGCTTCAAGGAGCGGCGCAGTCAACTAGCTACCCCCCTTGCCCTAAAGCAGACTATGTTCCACTACCCGACCAGACGATTGTGCGCGAGATGGATCTTCCGTCTGGACCCGGAGGGGAGATCACCACCCTGCCTACATTGCTGCGTGCAGCGTGGGTGCTGCTGGCAGCCAGACAGACTGACTCGCAGGATGTGGTCTTTGGAGCCACGCTTAGTGGCCGGAATGCCCCCGTGCCGCAGATTAATGCAATGGTCGGACCAGTCTTTGCCACGGTGCCGATTCGAGTGCGTCTATCTCTCGCCTGGACGGTGCACGACTTCATCCGACGGGCGCATGGCCAGGCCCTGGAGATGATGGAGTTCGAACATCTGGGGTTACCTGATATCCAGAGGATCAACGCCGACACCCGTGCAGCCTGCAACTTCGGCACTCTTCTGGTGATGCAGACCCCGACAGCACACGTTGACGGCGATACACCACGCCTGCTGAGCCAGCGAGAGGACCAGCGTCTGCGCGGCGATTACTCGGCCTTCAATCCGTACCCAGCTATGCTTCAGTTCTTCCCCCTGGCCAAAGATCGACTGGCCATGAACCTGAACTTTGACTCGCGGATACTGACTCCGGACGAAGCACAACGCGCACTGGACCAGCTTGCGCATATTATTGTTTGCTTCTGCACCAGTTCGCCGGAAATTACATTGGACGAGTTACCATTCTTGACTGACAATGACAAAGCGACCATCCTCAGGTGGAATGCAAACGGTATTGCCCCTGCGATGGTTGCTGGATGCGTCCACGACTACATAGAAGCCCGAAGTCAGAGGCACCCCGACAAGATTGCCATTGAGGCTTGGGACGGCGTGCTTTCGTACGGCGATTTAATTCACCTCTCCGGGATCGTGGCGCAACAGCTTCTCGCGTCCGGGGTAACGGCGGAGGACATAATCCCCGTCTGCTTCGAGAAATCCCAGTACACGGCAGTGGCCATGCTGGGGGTTCTCAAGGCCGGGGCAGCCTTCAGTCTCCTGGACCCAGGACATCCAGTCGAACGGCTGCGCCGGATTGCAGATGAGGCCCATGCCAAGATCATCGTCACCTCCGTCGACTGTGCCCGGCTGTTCGTGAACGATGGCTCGGGCCGGGTGGTCATCACGGTCTCTCGTGAGACCGCGCATCTCGCCCAGACCATACAACGGTTGCGACAGCCACTCGTCGCGTCTGACCCGACCCATCTGGCATGCCTGGTCTTCACATCAGGCAGTACCGGCACGCCGAAGGGCATCATGCTGCAGCACGCGGCGATCTGCACGAGCGCCCTGACTCACGGGCCGGCGCTGGGCCTGGACGAGAATTCGCGAGTTCTGCAGTTCGCATCGCACGCGTTCGACATGGCGGTCTACGACTTCTGTACCACATTGATGCTCGGTGGCTGCGTCTGCATCCCCTCCGACGAGGACAAGATGAACCACGTGAACCGCGCGATCGCCAGCCTGGCAGCCAACTGGGCCTTCTTCACCCCGTCGACAGCTACCCTGCTGATACCGGACGAGGTCCCCTCGCTGCGCACCCTGGTCCTGGGAGGGGAGTCCGTGACCCAAGAAATTCTCGATACCTGGGTCAGCCGGGTCAATGTCTATCAGTGCTCCGGCCCCGCCGAAACGACCACCTGCATCGGGGGCAAAATGCAGCCAGGCAGCGCGAAAAACTGTCTGGGCAAGGGCCTGGGCGCGTTGTCGTGGGTGGTCGACCCGGCAAATCATGACATCCTCCTCCCGATAGGTCTCGTCGGCGAGATGGTCCTGGAGGGCCCGGTGCTCGCGCGAGGCTACCTTAACAGCCATGACCAAACCAGTGCGCAATTCTTCACGAACCCGTCTTGGGCGAGGGGGCAAGGGCCCTCTTCCACCAAACCACGCCGATTCTACAAGACAGGTGACCTGGTCAGGTACGGTGCCGATGGGAGTCTCTTGTTCATGGGTCGCAAGGATACCCAGGTCAAGATACGGGGCCAACGAGTCGAGGTGAACGAGATTGAGGACTGTATTCGATCCCATAGCCGAGGCTGGGAGGTGGCCGTCGACGTTGTTGAATCCGGCCACCCGGGCCAAAGCAGGAAGCTCGCCGCATTTCTGGTCCACCACCCCGGCCAGCATCCTGCTTCTGGGCACGAAGACCCAGATTCGGCCTTGTTGGTCGCGGAACCCGCCCCAGACTGGAATTCTGCGGTGTGTGCGCTGGCGCAGCATCTGTCTGCTCAGCTGCCCAGTTATATGATTCCGGCCGCCTTCGTCCCCCTGAGGCACCTGCCATCGAGCACCTCGGGTAAAGTCGATCGCAAGGCCCTCCGGGCGTTGGGACTTTCTCTCAGTCCAGAGCAGCTGGGAGCCATGGCGGCGGCCGACGAGGTGGTGGAGATCGTCGTGCCCAGCACCCCCGCAGAGCTCAAAATGCGGAATCTGTGGGCGACGGTGTTGCACCTCGACGGGTCCGCAATTGCCGCCAGCGATAACTTCTTCGCTTTGGGTGGCGACTCCCTTCTGGCTATGAGGCTTGTGGCATCCGGCCGTCGTGTCGGTATCACCCTGACTGTGGCCGGGATATTCAACACTCCTGTTCTCCAGGACATGGCCAAGTCTGTCCAGATACAACCGGTCCGTGACGACGAGGAGGACGAGCAGGAGGAGGACGGAGTCCGCGCCACAAATGCAGTGGCATTTGAGTGCATCGCACATCTTGGGCCGTTGGATGAACTCATATCCGAAGTAGCGGATGCATGTGGGCGAGGAAAGAACATTGTCGACATTTTACCATGCACGCCGTTGCAGGCCGGGTTAATGGCACTTTCCGTGCGCAAGACCGGTTCGTACATCGCGCAGGAGGTGTACCGCATCCAACCCGGTGTTGACATCCCACGGTTTCAAAAGGCCTGTGAAGCGGCGGTGGAGGCATACCCGATTCTCCGGACTTCCATCGTCCAACTCTCCTCTTCCTCTGACATGATTCAAGTGGTATATCAAGAAGGCATTACTTGGCAGGCGCCCGCGGTGGCCTTGGACGACTACCTGGTCTTTGACCAACAATCCTCCATCGGTCTCGGGGACCCGTTGACTCGTTGGGCCATTTGCTGCAGCCAGAATGGACACGCTTACTTTGTCTGGACGAAGCACCACTCCTCCTACGATGGGTTCTCTGCCCCGCTGGTTCTTCGACACATCGAGCAGGCGTACGCCGACCTGGACTCGCCGAAGGCCTCCCAGCCGAGCCCCGTGTCTTTTGCCACCTTTATCAAGCATCTCCAGTGCCAGCCGGTCGGCGAGCAACGGGATTACTGGCGCTCATATCTGGAAAATGCGAGCGTTGGCAGTTTTCCTGGTGCGACTTCGACTCTCGCTGATTTGGCCCACCCCACGCAGACCGTCAGTCACCAGATCCAGGGCTGTGTCCCTTCGGCGCCGCTGTCAATCACCTTTTCGAACCTGGTGCAGGCCGCGTGGGCTCTGGTTTTGTCGAAACACACCGGATCCAGCGACGTGGTGTTTGGGGCGACAGTGTCGGGACGCAATGTGGCTCTCCCAGGGGTGGAATCTGTTGTGGGACCAACCTTCACCACCGTCCCTGTTCGGCTCTCCCTCGACCCCCCGGGTATGCCGGTGGCGAAGTATCTGTCGCGAGTGCAATCTGAGGCCGCGCGGATGATTCCGTTTCAACACTTTGGTTTGCAGAATATCAAACACCTCGGCGAGGACATCGCCCGTCTCTGCGACTTCGACTGTCTCCTCGTGATTCAACCGCATCGTCAGGTATCGGAGAATTCCCTGCTGGTGATTGAGCGACTTGAGGGATCTGGTACCTTCCGAACCACCCCTCTGACGGTTCTCGTCGATGTCCAGGAGGGCGGGGCGGCCTTGGTCACCGCGCATTTTGATACCGCGTGGTTCGACCACGAGCTGGTTGAGAGGATGCTGCACCAGCTGGGTCAAGTCCTCGATCGACTCATTCACGCCGCGCCGGAGACTACGGTAGCCGATATCGAAGTCATCACCGATCAGGAGCTGGACCAGATCTGGGAATGGAACCACCTCGTGCCCCCCGCAACCACTCAGTGCATCCATGACACCATCCAAGAACAGATCACGGCACGGCCTGCTGCCTTCGCGGTGGAAGGTTGGGATGGCCGCCTGAGTTATGCCCTTCTCGACGAGTATTCAGGCAAGGTTGCCGATTACCTGGCGGAGTCCGGTATATCGCGGGGATCATACGTGCCCCTGCTGTTCGAGAAATCGGTGTGGGCGATCGTGGCCGTGCTGGCCGTCTTGAGGGCCGGCGCGGCATTTGTGCCAATCGACCCCTCCCATCCACGACATCGAGTCAAGTTCCTACTCCGACAGACTGAGTCGCGCCTTGTTCTAGCCTCGCCGCATTGCGGGTCAATTTGCGCCGAGCTGGAGGAAGGCTACTTCATCGTGAGTCCGGACGTCATCGCGGGGCTGGAGCGGCGCGGTGAGTGGGAGGGCATGCCGCGAGATGCCTCGAGTCCGGCCTACATCAGCTTCACGTCCGGGTCGACCGGCGAGCCCAAAGGCGCGGTGATCTCACACTCCGCCTACAGCTCCGGGGCGGCGGGTCATATTCCCGCGATCGCCATCGATCACCAGTCCCGGGTCCTGCAGTTTGCCTCCTTCTCGTTCGATACGTGCTTCGAGGACATTCTCACAACCTTGCTTGTGGGCGGATGTATCTGCATGCCGTCGGAGATGGAGCGCACCAACGACCTGCCTGGGTGCATCAATCGCTACGGCGTCAATTGGGCGCACCTGACGCCATCAGTCGCCAGTCTGCTTGATCCTGCGAGCGTGCCAGGACTCCGCGTGCTGCTGCTGGGTGGGGAAGCGATGTCCGGCAAACATGTGCAGCAATGGGCCCGCACGGTGCGGTTAATCAACGTGTATGGGCCGAGTGAACTGTGCGTCACCTGCGCGGTCAACCCCACTATGAGTGAATCGATGCCGACCAAGATCGGTCACACTGTCGGCGGCGTCCCCTGGATCGTCGACCCCGATGACCCGCAGAAACTGGCTCCTGTCGGCGCCATTGGGGAGTTGGTGTTTGAAGGACCCATCCTCGGCCAGGGCTACCTGCGCAACCCTCTGCAGACTGACCAGGTCTTCCTCCCTGCCCCACGCTGGCTGCAACGTGGTTCTCGGTCGACAGCGGGTCGGACGGGTTGTCGCGTCTATCGCACGGGGGATCTCGTTCGGTACGACCGCGATGGCAGTCTGATCTTCCACGGCAGACGAGACGCCCAGGTAAAGCTGCATGGTCAACGCATTGAACTAGGGGAGATTGAGTGGCAGATCAAAAGGGGATGCCTGGAGTCCGGCGAGGTCCGGGACGTGGTCGTCCAACTGGCAACCATCGCCCAGTCTTCTTGTCTGACGGCCTTTCTCTCTTTGACGGATGCGCCACAGGGCCAGACGATCCGGCTCTTGCAGACCCCTTCGTTCCTGGCCCTCGCGTCACGCATCCATGATTATTTGACCCGGGTTCTTCCATACTTCATGGTTCCATCAGTCTACGTCCCCCTTGGGACGATGCCGCTGACGCGATCGAAAAAAATTGACCGCATGCGTCTGCAAGAAATTGTCTCCGCAATCCCTCCGGAGCAACTCGTGCGACGGTCTGCGCTGGACCAGGACGCCGACATCGCGCCCCGGACGGCGCTGGAGATGACAGTGCAAGAGATCTGGTGCCGCGTGCTCAATCGCGAAGCGGCTGACGTCGCGCTGGGAACCTCCTTCTGGTCGTTGGGCGGGGACTCAATCTCCGCGCTGCGGGTCCTATCCTTCCTCCGTGCGCAGGGGATCCAGGTGACAGTCCAGAGCATCATGCAGTACAATACCCTTGGCTCATTCTGTGCGTTTCTGGAGGACATCGAGAGCAGCGAGGTCCCGTCTTCGAGCGTCTCTGACCCGGGTACGAGTGCCACCACCGCGGACACGAGTGTGTCCGGGGATGTAACGACGGCCGCGGCTGAAGAGAATTGGTTCCTGCTCTCGCCGATCCAGGCGCGGTTCTTCGAGCTGTATCCCGATGGAAATCCATCGTACCAGCTCAGCCACACGCTCACGCTTCGAAGAACTCTGGACATGGCGGAACTTCGCACTGCGGTCGAAGCTCTTGTCCAGCGCCACCCAATGCTACGGGCAAGGTTCACCCAGGACGACCATGGTCGCTGGCGGCAATGGGTCTCCCCGGACGTGTCCCAATCATATATGCTGTGGGGCTACCAAGATGAGGCCGATAGTCAGGATCTGCTGAGAGCCATGATTCGCCGCACGCATTCCAGCATCAATATCACCACAGGACCGATCCTAGCCGGGGAGCTGGTTACCACCCCTAACGGACAGGTTCTGCACCTGACCGCCCACCATCTAGCGTTGGACCTCGTTTCGTGGCGCATCTTGCTGGAAGACCTCGAGACTCTGCTCCATCCGGGCGGGATGCTCTCTCGCGATGCCCCTACTGCATCATATCAGGCGTGGTGCGAAGCCTTGGCCGGCGCTGCCTACGCAAGGAGCGGAGCCTGCCCCAACGACCCCGACGACGGTCTGCCCCCGTTCGCATTGATCCCCACCCCGTTCGCATTCTGGGGTACCACGCCGCAAGCAACGTCTGACGGTGCCTCCTCCAACACGCGGACCGTATCCCTGGACCCCGCGACCACCGCGCGCCTTCTCGCGCATGCTCCCCCGCCGGGTCACGGCAACCGCCCCCGGCCCGACCTCACCTTACTCGCAATCCTGCAGCACGCCTTCCTCGAGGTCTTCCCCGAGCGCACGGGCACTGCCCCGACGGCCGTCAACGTCTCGCACGGCCGCGACCTCTGTCTCGGGGACCGCGGCCTCGACGTCTCGCGCACCGTCGGTTGGTTCACGACCATGTACCCGACCCAAGGCTCCCCCATCGCGTCCCGCACCGTCCAGCAAGCGATCCACGCCTTCACCGAGCTCAACGCCGAGAGCCACCGGCTGGCTCTACCATTCTTCGTCGCCCGCTACCTCCGATTGTCCCTGCAAGGGACGGAGCTTCCGGAGCAGGAGCAGCACCCTGGGAACGAGGAGGGGCAGAGCGGGGAACAAGGGAGAATAGATATCCCAGAAATCATGTTCAACTACGCGGGCGTCTACCAGCAGCTGGAACGGCCGGACGCATTATTTGCGTTGAGGCGGGACACTGAGGACAATTCGCCAGAGGAGATGCATAGCGAGATGGCGCAAATGAAGATGCGGCATGCCGCGGTGTTTGAGATCGTGGCGCGGGTCCGCCAGGGTCACCTGCAGGTTGGGTTCTCCCACGGACTGGGGATGAAGCATCAGGCCAGGATCAGGGAGTGGATTCGGCGGTTCGAAGTGGAGTGTGGGGTTTTGGGTGGTTCTTGAGGGTTGTTGGGGCTTGAGATGGGGCCTTGCTTCCTTGACCGTAGGGAGAGAGGTTTGGGGGGGAGGGAGGGGGAACAATGGGCTCCTTCGCTAGGGTTGGGGCTGATGTGGTATTTCGGTATATATTTCTATACCACGGGAGAACACAGAACACAGGAGTCACAAGTCCCTTCCTTGTTCTTCTATTTCACTTGTTTTTTTTCTATCGCGTTGGTTGAAGCTAGACATCGAATTCGATTGGAAAAATATGTTGTGATCATCCTTAGGCACGCTGATCATAAGTTGCATGACTATATACATTGTCAAGCACCGGCCAAAGCATCATTTCCTACGACCAGAACATCAACCGCGGCTTTCCCCCGGTCACCTCTGCCGGCAGCAGCCCCATGAAGCTGGCCAACGCCACGCGGGGGGGAGCCGACTGCGTCTGTGTGACTTTTTCCTCGACCGCCGCCACCTCGTGCATGTTGCGCGAGTTGAAGATATACAGATCGCCCGCCTCGGGGTGGAAGCGGGTGTGGTCGCGCCCCGCCACCAGCTCCGGCGCATAGCCGTACGAGGCCGGGTCGCGGTACCGCAGTGCCTCCGGCGACCACTGCACGTCATAGATGGTCGTGTCGCCGCCGTCCGCCACCGAGGACAGGTACAAGTTGAACACCGCCTGGTGGGTGATGCGGCTGAGGATCCAGTCCTCGGTCAGGCAGTCGTACGGGCACCAGTCGCAGTGGATTGGCGTGCCGCGGTTGATGCTGCGGAAGATCCCGGAGAAGTACTGCTGCTGTTCCTGCTGCTGCTGCTGCTGCTGTTGGTGGTGGTGCATCGAATTCGGTGCTCGGTTCACGGCCAGTGATCGGGCCTGAAACCCCAGCTCGCTGGCAACCCCGACCTCCCACTCGGGCGCCACCAGCGCGGTAATGGCGGCCACGGTACGCTGCCACAGATTCGTCCCTGTGACGGCGGCCATGCGCGCGTGCAGATCCCCCAGCTTGGACACCTCGCTGAAGTACTGGGCCTTTTCTGCACCGGGGGAGGGCCGGGGTGGACGCGGTCTTTAGCTTTTGCTGAGGTGGCTGTTTACTCGGGGGTGAGGAGGGTAGGGACTGTTAGGGCTGGGCTGGGCTGGGCTGGACTTACCGTTCCCAGTACGACGGGTGAAATCCTCGGCCGACTGCGCCTGGAATTCAAACTGCGCCAGTCCGACCTTCTCCACGGGCGGTCCGGTTGCGTGCAGGTATGGGGTAAAGCGTGGAAGCAGATAGTGCAGCGACCGGGCGCTGAGGTCTTGATCGATGAAGCGCGGCACCTGGATCACGGGAGTCCGGCCGTAGAGGAGATCGAGGAAGGACTCGCGCGTCAGAGGAACCGGGTCGATGGTCTTCCAGCGGGAATCTGCGCGGTTAGGAGGCCGTAGGGCGGGTTTCTTTCTGGTGGTGGTCGTGTTGCTCATGGCAGTTGTGTAGGTGGTGGCCGCGGCCATGTGGGATAGGGCTCGCACGCTGCCGTTGGGCGGACAACGCCGCTGGACTGTAGACTGGATCATCAGGACTGGGATTATGACTGCTGAAAATCAAGGGATTTGGTTGAGATCTACTGGGATTGAGCAATTGAGTCAGTTCGAGATGTGAGAAGTCTGCGGAGTGTTACTATTGTGTTCTCTGACGGGGGAAAGGCATCCCCCCGCTCCTCGAAACCCCCTCTTCCTCGTAGGCTTCTGTTGTCGCACTAACTTCACCTCCATGATCTCCCCCCATTTCGCCATCCTCACCACCTTTCAACTAATCCCTAGACTGATTCGTTCTACTGGGATGGAGATAGGAGCAAGATGGTCCTAGTGTGACGATAGTGCGCGTGGTAAGGTAATACGAGCGCCGCGCACTTCGATTTCAAGTGATGTACGCGGTAAAGTACAGCTATCGTCCTATTACACAGATCTCCACAGTCTTGTTAGCGTACGTCTTCCTGGTGACTATACACATACTTACAATTGATACAAACAGGAGCAAGGCGGCGTTGTACTTCTTGTACAGAATAAGCAAGGGGTCCAGAACCAACGCACAGACCGGACTTGCGACTTCATCTGGGGGTACTTTGTTACTATAAAAGAAAGCTAGCACAATACAGTACAGATGTACAGAGTGAAGGGCCATAATTGGGCTATTAGGCACGAATTTCGATCTTTCCGTCCAGGTTGTTCCGGCTGGCGGTGCCACGTATTATATTACCAGGCTGTGATAGTGTACTTTATCCAATGTTACATACAGTATCTTTCCATTTTTGTTCTGGCTGTGTTTTTTTTTTTTTCGCACAGTATTGTAGCGTATCACGTACTATACAATGATACTGTACCACCATGAAATGTGATATACGATGCCAGTAGGGCGCGAATTGCGGTATTTTCAGTTCTTCCACCAACCTCTCAGTTGATGTTAATGTCAGCCATCGTGCAGTATACTGAGAAAAAAGGCCAAGGGTCAGATAGATAACGTGGATCAAACACGGGTGCGGGGCGGGGAGCTCCTGGGATTCAGGGTCTTTGCGACTGCCCACCTTCTCGCTCAGAGGACATGGGTCAAGTCTTCGAGAAACCGAGAAAAGGCAAGGCATCCGGCTAGGGAATTCGGTCCTATTGTACACTACGCCAGACCTTAGAGGCTGAAGCCTAAGAGCATCGAATACTACCCACCGTGGACTGGTTTGTTGAAAGCTTGATCGGCTGTCAAGCAGCAAGCAAGTATTGGCAGTGGTGCGCATTCAATCATGACCGTTGCCCTGCGCGTGTTCATGACGACCACGTCTCAACTAATCGTCTCTTTCATCGTCAACTCGGCGATTGTCGCTCTGACTCTACTGGCCCGCCTGGAATCCGCGGGTTCGATTGCGCATGCACCACGGGGCACTCTATACAAAGATCCAGATGGACGAGCTACGCCCTCTTCCGCTGCGCGGTACACTACCATGATGCCCAAGACGTATCTGTGCTTCTTCGCTTTGGTTGGAGCTGTTGTGTCGACGGGGATGACTTTCTACACAGCATTGACAACAAGTCTGTCACTGCACGGGTTGGTCCTCATGTATCTGCATTCGATGCCATGGGTATGATGGTTTTCTGTTCAGCGCACGCGGCTTGTAATAAAGGAGTCTAGCTAACTGATTTCATGCTGCTGGAGATCTTGATCTTGGGACAATGCATCTCTCTCGTTCACGCCAAGCACCCACGGCAGACCTTCCGGACAGGGATTTATATCGGCCTCTCCGCCAGCCTGCTAGTCTTCAACTTGAGTCTAAAATTGCTTGCGCTGAGTGTCGGATATGATCCCCAGCGAGTGGTTTCCGAACGTTTCCGGACGCAATGGATTGACCTCAGCGTGCAAATGGCGCTCGGCTCAGCCGTCATCCTGAGCTCTCTGTCCATGCACCGGCGGCCCGCCGTATACCGGAATGGTAGCATCGTCGACGGTCAATTCACAGTCTCACTCCTCCAAAGGTCGGGCCTACAATGTCATTCCTCTCTTTGCTGCTTCAAGATGATTAGAAAACTGTGCCTAATCCTAAGCGAGGGAATCTAGATACACATTCTCCTGGATCAACGCCCTACTCGACCATCCGCGCGACGGCGCGCAAATCGGGTTTCATGACCTGGCGGTCGTCGACCAGAAGAATCGGTCCCAACACCTGACGTCTCACTTTGAGTCGTCTGCGGCTAAAGATCTCGCCGCGCCGCTGTGGCTGCAGCTCTATCGCGCCCATCGTAGCGTCTTCTGGTGGCAATGGTTCCTGGTCGCCGTGCAGAACGTGGTCGCCTACGCCCCCCAGTTCTGCCTCTTCCACATTCTCCGGATCCTTGAGGGCCAGGGAGATGTCTCTCGTGTCACGACAGAATTGTTCATGTGGGCAATTGCCATGGGGCTTTCGCGGGTAGGGTTGGTGTTTGTGGATACGCGGTATGCTCCCCTCTCTGTTCCCTAGGGAATGAACATGGATGATCTTGGAGTCAGAGAAGAAATTGAAATTGACGAGTGGCGTGTGCGCCTCCAGACTCAATTGGGCCACGGGATCGCTGCTAGAGATTCCCTTGCGATCGCAGCTGTCTGCCTTGATCTTTCTGAAGTCTCTACGTCTGAAGGACATCAGGACCCCGAATGAGGAAAGTGAGAACGAATCGACGGAGACGGTCGGGGTAGGAAAGGCGCCCAAGGCTGAAGAGGATGCAGAGCATGTTGATCTAACGGGGCTGTTGTCCGATGATGAGGGCACAGGCATTGACACAGAGCCGGTTCCCTTGCGCGAGATGTCCTCCGATGATGCCCAATCCCGCGCGGCGACGACCCGGCCCCAGCGTCAGCCCCGGCCCCGGCTGAGCGCGGAGCAGGGCATTGTCAACCTGCTCGGGGTGGACGCGACGCGGGTAGTGGAGTTCGTTGCCCGGACGTACATCTTCCTGGGCATTGGGATCAGCCTGCTGGTGGCGGGGACTGCGCTGGTGCGGCTGATCGGCTGGATCCCCTTTGCGCTGGGCCTGCTGGCGCCCGTCGTGCTCATGCCGCTGAACCTGCTCGCCTCGCGCGCCTACGGGCAAGCCCAAGCAGGGCTAATGGTTCAGAGAGACGCCAAAGTGACCGCGGCCAGCGAAACGCTGCAGGGAATCCGGCAGATCAAGTGCGCGGCCAGCGAGCGGCAGTGGCAGGCCCGCCTGATGGCCATTCGCGCGCGCGAGTTGCACCACCAACGCCGCGTCTTCCTCTGGACAATCATCCTGCGCCTGTTCTGGATCTCCTCGCCGATCTTACTCTCTGTCATTGCCCTGGCCGCGTACGCATGGCTCCACGGCTCCCTCGCCCCCTCCGTGGCATTCACGGCGCTCGCCGTCTTCGGCAACCTCGAGGTCGCCCTCTCGGTCATCCCTTTCGCGCTGACCCAGGGTTTCGACGCTGCCGTCAGCTGCCGGCGAATCGAGCGTCTGCTGCGCCAGACAGAGCAGCCCAGGGCGGTGCTGCCCGCAGAGAAAGGGGAGATTGTGATTGAGCGGGCTACGATTGCGTGGCCGGCCGAGCAGCCGCCGCACGACGGTGGCCCGTCCCCGCGCAAAGATGTGAATCAGCACTTCCAGCTGCGGGAAGTGAATGCAGTCTTCCCTAAGGGCGAGCTAAGTCTGATCCAGGGCAAAAGTGGATCGGGGAAGAGCCTGCTCCTGGCTGCCATTGTCAACGAGGCGGAGATCCGCGCCGGAAAGGTGTATGTTCCATCCAGCCCGCCGGGGCAAGCCCTCACTAAGGCAGATGACTGGGTGCTTGATGCCTTGCTCGCTTACCTGCCGCAGCCGCCGTGGATTGAGAACGCCACGGTCCGCGAGAATATCCTTTTCGGCTTGCCCATGAATCCTGCCCGGTACGAAGAGACCCTCCGGGCGGCAGCGCTGGTCCAGGATCTGCAGCAGATGGAGCGGTCCGATCTCACTGAGGTTGGCGTCCAGGGCATCAATCTGAGCGGAGGCCAGCGATGGCGGCTCGGGTTGGCGAGAGCCTTGTACTCGCGGGCGGGGATTTTAGTGCTGGATGACATCTTCAGTGCGGTCGACGTGGGCGTCGCGCAGGTCCTGCTGGAGAGGGGTCTCCGAGGACCCCTGGGACAAGGTCGGACCATTCTCTTGGTGACCCACCATGAAGCCCTTTGCCTGCCCCATGCCTCGTACGTACTTCGTATCCGGGACGGCGGTCAATGCCATGGAGCCAGAGTCCCGTCTCCCCAGATCGATCTTCTGAGTCCACGGGAGACTCATCCTCCCGGCCACGCAGTCGGGGTGCCCGCCGTAGCTCCAGAGGAGGCGCTAAGATACCAAAATATGATGCACTTTGAGAATTCATGCGGAGATGCTAAGGGCAAGCTTGGTCCCACTGGAACGTCTCCTTGGATTCGCGACGAGTTCCGCGAGCGTGGCTCGGTGAAGTGGCGCGTCTATAGCCAGTACATTGCGCACTCAGGGGGTACGCTGGTCTGGGTACTGGCCATTCTGGTCGTCATTGCCTCCCAACTGGCCCTGTTTGGCCGCGGGTGGTGGATGAAGGTCTGGACGCAGTTCAACGAGAGGCTCGGCTCCCCAGCCATCCAGCTGGGCCCACCGGATCTGCAGCTGAACTACTATCTCACCATCTACGTGGTGATCTCGCTGTCGGCCAGCGTGCTCGAGGCCGGCAAGTGCGGGTTTGTCTATGTGGCGGCCCTCAACGCCTCCCACCGCTTGTTTCACTCGATGCTCGATGCGATCCTGCACGCGCCGCTGCGGTGGCTGAACACGGTGCCCACCGGCCAGATCCTCAACCGGCTGACGGCGGACTTTGCCCTGGTCGACTCGCGTGTCCCCGGAGACACGCACACGCTGCTGTCGGCAGCTACCGCGCTGGCGATCATCTGTATCTCCGGGGTGCTGGTGTCCGCGTGGGTGATTGTGCTGGAGCTGGCGCTGGTTGGCGGGTGTTTGTTATATGTGCGCCGGTTCCTGCCCGCGGCCCGCGATGTCAAGCGCCTCGAGGCCACGGCCAAGTCGCCGATTTTCGAGCTACACCGGTCCTGTCTGGCGGGGCTGGGAACCCTGCGCGCGTTCGGGGTGGCCGGGCGATACGCGGAGCGCATGCTGTGGCTGATCGACAACCAGGCACGTACGCACTGGGCGTTTGCGCTGATCACGCAGTGGGCGGCCTGGCGCATTGGGATCATTGGCGCATTGTTCGGCTTCCTGATTGTCGTGGCAGTGGCCGCCAAGCACGTCGACGCCCCGTTGGCCGGGTTCATCCTCACCGTGAGCCTGGAGTACAGCAAGATGCTGGAGGACCTGATGCGCCGCGTCATCGGCCTGCAGCTCAACATGAGCTCCACGGAGCGGGTGGTTGAATTCGCCAGCATCGAGACGGAGAATCACCTCGGAGGGCGCTCTACAGCCCCCGACTGGCCAGCCACGGGGGCGATCGCCATCCACAACCTCTCCATCAGATACGCTAACGAGCTGCCCTGGGTGCTGCGCGACATCAACCTCCAGATAGGCCCGCGCATGCACGTGGGCGTGATCGGCCGCACGGGGGCCGGCAAGTCGACGCTGGCGCTGGCTCTGCTTCGGGTTCTGGAGGCCGGCGGTGGCGGCGGAGGCCATATCACGATCGATGGCATCGACATCGCCTCTGTGCCCCTGGCAACCCTGCGCTCGCGCATTGCGCTGGTCCCGCAGGACCCCGTGCTCTACTCGGGCACCGTGCGCAGTAATCTCGACCCGTTCGGCCACTACAGCGACGGGGAGCTGCACGCCGCGCTGCAGCGCGTGCACTTCTCCCTGGGCCCCGCGCGCGAAGATGCTGCCGCATCGGCGGCACTGCTCAACCATCCCATCTCCCCGGGCGGAGCCAACCTGTCCCAAGGCCAGCGACAGATCCTGTGTCTGGCGCGGGCGCTGATCACACAGACCCGCATCGTGGTGCTGGACGAGGCAACCAGCGCGATCGACCCGGCGACGGACGCGCTGATTCAACGGGGGATCCGTGACGCCTTCAAGGAGCGCACGCTGATCGTGATCGCCCACCGGCTGGCCACCGTCGTCGACTTTGACCGCGTGGTGGTGCTCTCCCAGGGGATGGTCGAGGAGTATGGTCCGCCACGGACGCTGTACCAGGCGCACGGCCCATTCCATCACTTCGTGCAAGAGTCAAGGGATTGTGAGGAATTGAAGCGGGCGATGAATGTCTGATCCATCTCTGGGTGGCGGAGAACCATCGTGCTTACATCCCTTCACAATAAAGCTTGCTCATTTGGTTTCTCTAACATTCGAACATCTAATAAGTTGACAACAAATGCTCGGTTGCTTTTAAGAGTCGAAGATGGTATAAACTTATATATTTGATTGATTGATTTTGTCACTCTCAAAGAATATCAAGATGTTTTTTCTCAAACCTCATACCTTTATACCTTTAGAATTGTTGTACGTCAAGTAGCCCTGGGAAGAAAAGACGCGGAATCCAATCGAATACATTTTGGATACATATCTTACTCTTGGGCTTGAAGTAACGAACAACGGATTTCTATATCCCCAGAAAAGACGGGTTAGCTACATTTTTGAATTCCATCTGATCACCTTTACCAAATATATGTCTGCGGGTAGTTCTGCGTTTGTCTGGACTTCAATAACAACTTTCTTACTAGAATCTATTAAAAATCGGGATTTGTCTTGAGGAACTGCTGCGCTGCTGTTCGGCTGAAGGCTTTGCACGATGAACTCAATCTCAACTGTTGAGGTCAAGGGGACTTGGAGGCCGTCGAGGATGCAGGTGTCTAGGGTGCCCGTACACTGGGGTGGGGTCCGGGAATCAATCAGTCTGTCTCTGGTGGATATGCAAAGGCAAAGAGGGAAAGGGAGGAATGGAGAGATAGGATACCGCAGCCGAGGATGGTGTTGGTTAATTTGGGCATCGTTGGGGGAACATTCGTGCAAGACGGTCGGATGCGCACGAGTCAATCACGACAGGCGTGTAGGAGTGGATACGTGATTATACTGAAGCTGGAGCCACTCACAATATATTCCAAGCGGCAACCAGCACTGTCCGAGTTGATGTTTATGCTGTATGTACAATGCAGGTACAGCAGGTTCCCATTTCACATTGCCTGTACTGTACAACTGTGGGTCTGGTATTTCAAGATACGAGATCAGGTACGGGCACCGAAGAACACCAGCCCACATCGCAACCCTAACAACACTCGAGGCGAATGCCCGGTCGTCACCCACGATAGGCCTGGGCAACCCGAAAGCGATGATATTCCAATGCCGACATCTCCTCATACAAGGCGGGTGTCTCCGGTGCGAGAAACTGAGGGAGCGGCGCGACGGAGACCTCGCGGTCGGCCTTGACGAAAAACGCGTTGGAGAAGCGCTGCGGGACCAGCCCCTGCTGCAGCGTCTTCAGATGCGGCGCGAGCTCGACCCGATGCACTGCGGCCGGCAGTCGACCATTGGTCCAACGCTGCAGCGTCTCACTGATGCTGACGATCATCTCCGCCGGCGCCCCCTCCGGTCCCTGGGCCACGGGGAGGAACGCCTCCTTGTGTCCGGCCGCCGTGCTGGCGCGGTCCTCCATCTCGAGCCCCCCCGTGCCATCCTGAAACAGGCAGGTGATGACCCCCAAGTCGGTGTGCGGCCAGATGCGGTTGACGACTCCGCGTCGCAGCTCCTCGATCTCGATGGCCGGGTAGTGGTTCAAACGGAGCTCGCTCGCCGTGTGCGTACACCGTTCGCCAAACGCCCCCGCCGGCAGGCCCAGCGCCTGCTCGAGCGCCGCGAGCACCACTGAGCTGACCGCCGCGCAGTTGCGGTAGTACCGCTCCAGGAACTCCTGAAAGCCCGGCAGACAACGCTCATCTGGCCACCGGTTAGGCCATGCTTTGTCGTCGGGGGATCCGAGGTCAAAATGCTCCTACCATGTAGTGGGTTTTATCATCAGCATCAACGAAAATCGAGGACAAGGTGTTGGGGAAGAGAGGAAAGCCAGGAGAGAGAGGAGGGGGGGGGGCGGGGGGGGGCGCGGAGGATGGACAGGATAAAGAACGGAAAAAAGACAAGATAATCTCACCCGCGCATCGAATAGCTCTTCGTCAATATTCGTCTCGCCGAGCCCCGCGCGGTAAAGCTTGGAGGTCCTCTCCGCGCCCACGCAACTCCAGCCCCGCTGAGGCTCAGGCCCCGCGGGATGCGCGAGTCGCACTTTTTCCAAGCTAGGCAGAGCGAAGAATTTCCGCGTCTACCAAAGCGAAAAGGAGCAGATGGCTCTGTTAGTGGAGATGTTTCTCAGCCCTGTTCTATAAGGAGTGGCTACGAACCCAGTCGAAGAGAGCGCCAACATCCTCGTCCGAGAGGCCATGGTGGACCAGTTTCACAAAGCCAAACTGTGTGAGTTCCCGCAGCAGCGCTTGAGCAAACGCCTCTTGCTGCGCGACTGAGCCACATGTATAGGCGGAGAGATCGAGCGGTTGACCGGACATGGTGTTGAATGGAGTCAGAAAATGACAAGAAATGAAAAAGATGGCGTGAGGGGATCGGGTGACCGGCGAGGAAGGAGAATCTGGCTGACCCTTATACTATTCGGGGCAGCCAGGTGTCTGCAAAGTCTGGCGGCATCAGCTCATTTCCGACGCACTCCTTCACATCGGAACCAACTCAAGAGGGGGACGGCATAGTGGGCCGGACATGACGACGAGACGAGACTAGGTTTGTAATCCTGCGATTGGTTTCTGGGTAAAAATCGCGCGAGACCTTGATCTCTCGTATCATCCACGAAGCACGGGGGCCAACTTCCCCTCCTTTCCGCAGTATATTGATCCATCCAGTGAGTAGAGATGCGGACCCACTGGTGAGACAAGCCCCTTTATCCTGCGGCCATCGGTTCGGATCTGATTGTTCTATGTGATGATAGATTCCACCAATGCAACTCGGGCACTCGAGCTAATCACCGGAGTGGATTCCTCATCAATAGACCAGAATTTGTTCAGGCTCTTAACTCCTCCTATCTGTCATAAAACTACATGTAGAGGATTCCTGAAACCAGGGACAGAAGACCGCCCATAATACTTTCTGATTGAGTTTCAATGAATGGCACCTCATGGTGCAAATCCCCGTGGATCTCGAGCTCCGTTTCATCGAAAGAACCTACAGCAATAGCGCAGTCACATCCAAGCTACCCACACCCCTTAGCTACCTAATTTCGCTCCCTACCCATAAAAGGCATGTGCGTCTAGGAAAGGATGAATCCAAGATCTAGCTAGACCGAGATTGACACCAATAAAGTATACCCTTAGGGGATCGCGCTCAAATCCTCCAGAGTATGCAAATGATCCCCCAAGACGACATCCACCTTCGACCCATCCGGCTTGATAGGAGCTTCAGCCACTCCACCGTAGAACTGCAGCCGCTTGGGCCGCAGCCAGGTCTGGAGGCTGTCCCAGTTAACGCAGCGCCGCTGGGCGGGGGGGCGCCGAATGCGTCGGTGCTCCTCTTCCGGCCACCAGTACAGCGATCCCACCGACAGGTCCGCCCGGCACATGGCCCCGTCGCGAAGAGCAATCAAGCAGTGATCTGAGACACCCCCGACTAAATGTCAGTAGAGCCCATCGTACAGTCTCCGGTCCGTGGGAGTGAAATACTTACCCAGGTGGTCCATCATCTCGGGCTTCTCGACTTTCCATTCGCGCTTAATCCAATCCTACCACCCCCCTCATGGTTACCCGATATCCGTAAGAGGAAAGACAGGGTAACAGCAGGGAACGTACCAAGCAATGAATCTCATGGTAGACCCGCAGGATCGCCATATACCCGCCATGCTCCATGCGCAAGGAGTTGGGGTTCAACGCGTTGACACTCCGGAGGTCTTCCTCCGAGGCCCGGAAGATCTCGTCTGGAAGAATGCGGTGCGAGTTAGGGCTGGCGCTTGGACTTGTGCGGTTCTACCCGCACAGCATCGCTGGTAGTCACTTACGGATTTTGAGCTCCTCCCATGCACGATTCAATTCCGGGGAACCCAGTTCCCCAGCGAAGGGATTGGGGGCGTCGTAATCCACCGGGGTGGAGACCCAGCTCAGCGAGGCACTGGCGGGGGCTAGAGCTCGGATGGTTATTTTCGGTGGGCGTTTCTCACCCCTCTCAGGGGACATCGCTGGCAGGGCTCATCACTTACAGTAAGGGACCCGAGGGCAGTAGCCTTTCACGGTGAGGATCTTGTTGACCACGAACAGGAAGAAGAAGATGTTGCCGAGCAGTACGAGAGAGTTCAGCATGCCGGGAAGCATGGCCCAGAGGAGATGGCTGCGGGGCTGGTGATGCGCCATGACGGGGGGGGTCTCGTCCCCCGGCGGACACGAGGAGGCCTCTGCCTCTTCCTGGTCCTCTGTGCCTTTCAACAGAGATTCCTCGTCTGGATGCATAGTGCTGTGCTGGAATGGCGAGTGAAAGCAATGGGCAGAAGGGTGAATGAGTGGATGATTAGATGGTCCTGGGAGGGTGTTGGGGGTTAAGGGCTAGCAGGAGTCTAGGGATCTGTGGGTTGTTGAGATCCTCGGACCGCTTGCTACCAAGCCATTTGGCCCCAGGGCGGGGCCTGCTACCTCTCTTCAGTCCTGCAGATTGTGCAGGGAAAGCAGGATTCAGACCCCACCATATGCTAAAGCCCTCAGGTAGATTGGGCTGTAACATGAGCATTGGACGGCTGTTCTGTTCAGGGATATCATAATACTGTACTGTATGTAATGTGTATTGAAACAAGTTATACAAGATCAAGTCTCAGTACGGTATGATTCAGTATGGTAACAATAGTGAGGGACAGTCCTGTACGGTATCGGTATGCAGGGACTCGGGACCAGCCTGTTTATCAAATCCCTGATTCAACCTAGACGGAAGAAGTGAATGATTGCTTGTTGTCTGATAAGCTTTGACAGCCCTGCCATTGGTCGCTTGGCACAGCCTCGGAGCAAGATGGCTCCAGCGTGGCTAACTTAGTACATACCTAAGTAATACCTAAGTTACCTAGCAGTTACCGTAGTATTATACTAAGTTGAAGATTGGCCACGCCTCGCCCCGTCCGTGCGTCGTGATAATTTATCGATCGAATTATCCAGTACTTATCTACCAGTGATGACCTCGATCTCTCTCTACGCGGGGTATCGTGACATATGCGGGATTCACTAACAATCCATAGTATAGCCTTGAGTCTACCGGTAACCTATCACTTGCTAGTATTCTTATTCATATGAGCGACCCTGGTTGTTGAAAGAAGCGGGGTAGTATTACTACGTATAGCATACAATATCTGAGAGGAGGCCAATTGGCGGGAACAAATTCCCTTCGAGCAGACACGAATTTCCGCGTCTTGTGGCACAGTGGGTGGTATCGACAGGTTTCACCTCTTTAGTCCAGCACGCCATCCGGCTAAGTGACTCGGCTGGCTGAAAGACACAGCGCATGCGATCATACTTCGTGAATTCCTGCAATCAGCTTCGAAGATAGACAGTCTGCTATCAGTCAGTCCCATACTCGCGGTCAATCTCTTCGTGTTATTACGAGTCGTCGCAGAGAGCCCATTCCAAGCACCACACGCCAACATGGGGGACTACCAACCACACTTGCCTTCCTGGACTACCAATTTGACCCCTCCTGTCAGTCATGATTACTGTGCACATGACCTGATCGGTGCGCAGTGCCGTGCCCATCCCGACGCGCCAGCCATCAGTTCCTGGGATGGCGAGATGACGTACAGGGAGTTAAATGCCCTCTCGACACGCTTGGCGGACTACCTGATTGCGCATGGGGTACAGGCCGAGGTCCTGGTCCCGATACTCTTTGCCAAGTCCCAATGGATGATTGTGGCTCTCTTGGGCGTGCTCAAGGCGGGCGGAGGCGTGATTCTCCTGGCGGCCTCCACCCCGGAGCACAGGCTGCAGCAGGTGCTAGACCAAGCCCAGTCGCCGATTGTCCTGGCCTCCGCCTCCTGCGGGGCAGTCTCTGGCCATATCCTCCGTGGCACTCACGTTGTGGTGGTTGACGATGACTTTTTGGCCCAGTGCTCTTCGTCCTCCGGTAGCGGCGAGGGAGCCCCGGGGGTATCAGTATCACCAATGAGCTCAGGCTCAACCGCGAGATGTGGCCCCCATAATGTTGCCTACGTCGCCTTCACCTCAGGATCGACAGGCGCCCCCAAGGGAGCAGTGGTGGAGCATCGGAGCCTCTGCACCAGTGCCCTAGAATTTATCAAGACGGTGCAACTCGATCCTCGCGTGCGGATGTTTCAGTTCAGTGCCTATTCCTTCGACATCGCCGTCCTGGAGATTGTCTTCACCTTGCTCTGTGGCGGGTGCATTTGCGTCCCTTCAGAGGACGAGCGGATGAATGCGCCTGTGGCGAGCATGGTCCGCATGCGCGTGACGCACGCCTTCTTCACACAGTCCCTCTTGCCTTCGCTCGATCTACATCAGGTTCCCACACTGCGCGTGGTCCTGACTGGTGGGGAAACTCCCAAAGAGCACACTGTCCGGCAACTGGTTCAGTCCTTCCAAGTGTACGGAGTGTACGGGCCCTGCGAATGCGCTGTGGTTGCCGCCGTCGTGCGCGGCGCGCACTCCGAAACGGATTTGGGCGCCCCGTCGGGCTGCCGGCTGTGGATCGTCGATCGAGACGACCCCAACCGGCTGTGCGGTAGCGGTGAGACGGGCGAGCTCGTCATTGAGGGCAGCATCGTGGGCCGCGGATACCTGGCCGACCGGGCGCGCTCGCGGGAGTTCTTCATCGCGCCCCCGGCGTGGATGCGTGCCCTGAACGTCGACCCGGTCGGTCGGCTGTACCGCACGGGCGACATGGCCCGATATGACGAGCAGGGAAAGCTGTGGTTTCGAGGCCGCCAGGATAGTCAGGTCAAGGTCAACGGGCAGCGGCTAGAATTAGGGGAAGTCGAGGCTCGGCTGCAGACGGAACTGCAGTGTTTGCGAGAGGATGTTTTCTGCGTCCTCGCTATGTTAATCGCTGGGCATACCGGCGGCGGAGGGCCCGGGGAGAAGCGTGGCCCTGTCCTGATGGCGGTCATCGGGGTTCATGACGAGCCTTCTCTTGGATATCTAGACTGGGACCGGGGCTCACGGCTGGCGGTGGTGCAGACCTCACCCACCGAGCAGAGACGGTTTGACGCCATGGTGGTCGCCATGCGTTCCCGATTGCGCGCTTCACTTCCAGCGTATGCCATTCCGTCCTTGTACATCCCCATACGCAGCGTGCCAGTCACTGTCAATGGCAAGACGGATCGCGAGCGACTGCTAGCCATCCTCGCGCAACTTCCCGCAAGCGAGGCGAGACGTTTCACGGGCCCCTCTTCAACCGATGCCCGAGCCCTAACTTTGACCGGTCCTGAGAAACAGCTCCGCGACGCATGGGCTGCCGTTCTTAGAACCATGGAAATTGGACCGAAGGATAATTTCTTCAGTCTAGGCGGCAGTTCGATCCTCGCCATGGAGCTGGTCTCCCAGGCTGGCAAGCGAGGACTCCATCTGACGGTAAACCAGGTCCTCCTGCACCCTCTCTTAGCAGATATGGCAGCCGCAGCGGTCCCTGATTCTTTTGCCGAGCCCCAGACCAGTGTGGCGCACGACCTGCCTGCCTTCTCTCTTCTCCTGGATTCTGAGCGGGAGGTTTTGCTCCACAAGGCCAGCAATGACTGTCAGGTGCCTGTCGCTGAAGTGGAGGATATCTATCCCGCCACCGCGCAGCAGATCTTTTCTATCCACGCCGGAATCACCTCGCGGTCCTTCCAAATGCAGGCCGTATACGCGCTCCCCGCCATGCTGGACGAGCAGCGCTTTGCCCGCGCGTGGGATCGGCTGGCCCAAACTCATGAGATCCTGCGGACTCACATGATTCGCCATCCCTCGGGGTCGGGCTATGTCCAGGTGGTTGTGAAGACCGGAGCTGGCCTCGCTTGGCGCCGGGGGACATCCCTCCAACATTACCTGGAGGAAGAGCACGAACACATCGTCGGAACAGGCGACCCGCTCTTCCGACTAGGGATCGTGAAGGATGAGCAAACTCAGGGCAAATACCTAGTAATGACGGTGAATCATGCGGGCTACGACGCCTGGTCGCTATCGCAGCTGTTCCTAGCGCTGCGACAAGCGTATGTATCTGACGGGTGCCCCCCTCCTTCACCCCCAGGGCTCAAGTACAAGACCTTCATTCGGCAGATCGTGGCAATGGATCGCGACGCCGCCACCCGATTTTGGACGCACCATCTGAAGGGGGTGGATACGCGACCTTTCCCCCCTGTCGCTATGGACAAAAGCCAGCCCGTGAATTGTGACACCCTTCTTACACGGCTGGTCCGACTCGATGGCCAGTCCCCCGGGCCAATGGCGTTATCCACCTTGGTCAACGCCGCCTGGGCCGTTACCTTCGCGGAGATTCTGCACTGCCCCGACATCATCTTGGGCGTTTTCGGCCACGGGCGCTGCGCCGATCTGCCCGGGGTCGGGGATCTGATCGCACCCACCATGACCGCATACCCGCTGCGCATCCGTGTCCTCCCGGGGCAGACCGTTGGGACCCTGTGCCGTCAAATCCAAGCCGACACGGCCGCGATCACCGCATATGAGCAGTTCCACTTCCGCAACATCGCCCGGATCAGCCCAGAGATCATGGGTCTCTGCATGAGCGCCGTGCGATTGAACCTCTTGCCTAAGTTGGAGGCTGCGGCTCCATCGTCGACGGCGGGGACGACAGCCCAGAGCGCACTACCCCTACCCTTACTCTGGGGCCAGCTAGCCGTGAATCTGCCGTTCCGGCTGAGCTGCACGCTAGGTCCGCCGGGCGTGCAGATCGAAGCGATCTTCGACCTGGCCATCGTTGCGGTCTCCACCGTCGAGGAGGTCCTCCGGAAATTCGAGTGCGCGTTGCTACAATTGCACCTCGCGCCAATGGCGGTGGCGGGCGAGAGCCCGCGCGTCGACGAGATCTGCTTGGATGGCTGGGCCTCGTTGTCTGCGTCCGCGCTCACCGAGTCCATTACTGCCGCGTCGGAGGAGGCTAAGAGGCAGATGTTGGTAAGTTATTGGCTCAGAATTTCGTATTTCGATTTGATTTTCTCTGTGCATCGCGCGACACATTGAGCTAACCGCATCCACAGGAAACCAAACCGCAGGACTTGGACCTCCACCCTGACGAGTCGCGACTTTTTATGGTCCCGCGGTGGTGAGTGCTGGGCTTCACCGTAATCTCTCGCGCGCATTGCTATGCTATGCTATGTCTTACAAAATCTCGACCCAGATATGTAGCTGTAGTATCTGTGGAGCTCATGATCTTGACATGCCTGAGAATGGTGTACTCCATACATTACGGTCACAAGCCACAACTGCTGAACCTGTACGGTTGAGTTCACGGTATCCAAGTATATACATTCCAGACTAGACACAATTGCGAGAAGTGATACAGGCCGCCTGCATATATTCAAATAAACTTATGAATTGCCTGCCATCTCACAATCTAAGAGGTCATCGCACTATTCCAGTCCCGGAGCAGGGGCACGAGCTGACCACAGTAGCTCCGCTCGGCTTTAATGTAGCGGCTGCCGTGATTCCCAAACGACCAGGCGATGGCGTTCATCGTCTCCTCGTCGTAGGACGGCGTGCCAGTGAAAAACCGGTCCAGACGCGGGTCGATGTGCAGGCACCTGGCGAGCTCGAGCTTCAGCGCGTAGAAGGCCACACGCTTGATGTCCCCGGTGCCATAGTCCATCGTCACAGCGAAGGTGAAGCCCTGCGGATTCATGGAAAGACGCATCTGCTCGACCTCGTCGGGCTCCAGCGCCCCGGCCGGATGGGCGAGCTGCACGTAGCGATCGGCCTGCTCCAGCTTCAAGGGCCCGGGGGCCCGAAAGTAGATGTTCACTGTGTGGGAGGTGTAGTCGGCCGCCACATGCCGAACCCACTCGAGCCCGAGGCTGTGGAAGACGGGCCCATGTCGACGGATGGACTCGGGCACTGGTTCGACGGCGAGGATGTCGTCGATGGGCCGCATTCCCCCCAGGTACACCCACGCTTTAGCCAGCCCTCGCTGCGCGTCGAAGTCGCACGACTGCTCCGGGGTGCCATCGTACAGGCGACTCCAGGCGGTGATCAGGGCTCCCAGCGGGTGGTCCGCGGCGAGGAGGCCAGCCTTGATGGCGGCGGCTACCGTGTCCGTGACGCGGCGCTCGTAGAAGCGATAATTCAAGGCGTCTCCCGGTCGGTTGGTCGTGCGCCACAGGACGGCTCCTCGCTGGAAACTCGTCGCAAAGGCCTCCAGGCTTGCCCGGGTGTGGGATTCCGAATATGGGGCGTGGATAATCGCGCAAGTGCGTTCAACATCCTCGAGGAACCGCGCCGCATCGAATTCGTCTTGCTTGGGCATGTGCATTTTGTTTTTGTTCTCTTTTTTTTTTGAGCTTGTGACCAGATCATAGCTGGTAGGCTCTTTTCTTTGAATCGCGCTGGTCGACTTTATCTACGACGGGGTCTACCACTGCTTCGAAACGCTGACGAGAGCACGCGATTACTACCTGCAACTCTTTCCTCAGTCCTATCATTTACAGTATTCCTACCTGTCTAGCTTGTCACCTTGATAGGTTCAAATTGTTATTTTCATTCAAGAAGTATAATAATCTTTCAGAATTACCCGGCCCAAAGCCGCTCAACATACACAGCAATCCACATACCCGAGCCTGTGCAGTACTGTTATGGGGGGGTATTATTAGGTGCGTAACGTGATATAACCTATATAACGTACCAGCTGTAATATAAAGTAGGTCAGACTACGTGGCATTGCCTCCGCAGCGGGACTCCGGCCATGCTCCGTCGGGGGATCGACCCGTGTGCAATTGCTCACTCCCCGCACGCACGACCCTTTCCGGCGATCATCACGAATCTTAGCAATCCCATTGGCATCCGAGCTCCCTTATCACCCATCCTACAGTGCTTTTCGGAGTGTGTTTCATCTTCCAGGGTCGCCACTTGCTAGCTAGTGCATTAGTGCTGATGCCAATCACACCATCAATGCGACCTCCCAAATACGTACTGTACACACAGTACGGTACTGTACACTCTTCGGTATATCCTCTGTAATGAAAGAGTACTAGGTATTCTAGGTATCTGCGGTCACGATACCGTCCCCACAAGCGTACAGTACCAGTAATAAACGCGCAATTCCAATACCCATTGCAGTCTGTTCTAGGATCACTGGTTGTTTCCATTTGCTTAGTTCATCTGTCGTGAAGATGGCGGATCTCAATTCTCCGCGGTCAGTCATCTCCGAGCCTTGATACTGTACTCCTGTTGCTCCGGTGGGTCGAGTGCTTCTGCCGCCCACCTCCCACCCATCCCAAAGCAAGAAAAGGCACCGTGGATATCCATCACAAGCGAGAGAAACAGACGCACAATGCACGAAACCGAGCTTACGGACTTCAAAAGCCACCAGCGGTCGCTTCGGGCATCATCTGCTCGTCCAGGACGGACAGCCCCATGGATGCAGAACGTGCTGTTTCTGGTCTTGCACCTTGCGCTGGCCACCACATGGATTATTACACTCTTCTATCACAACCGCTTGTCCGTGTTCTTTGATCCGCCGGTGCATCCCAGTCGGCCGTGGAAAGGGTCGGGCTTCAACTTCGAGCATTGCCCGGCCATGTCGCATGATGACCCCCTACCAGACGCCCATCATGGTGCTGATACCGGGGGAGCCGGCGAGGCGTCCGGCTTACAAGAATTCGAGTTCGGTGAGTGTCGCCTCACCCACCCCGGGCGTGGCTCACTTGTCACTTCCCAACAACTGAGAAATTGGCGGTAGCATCTGCCTCGGAGGCAGTTGAATACGTGCCATATCGGTTTGAGCAGAGTCGATGGACCGGAGAACCCAGCGAGGACACAAGTCCCTATGAAGGGCCCCCTACCGGCGCGGTGAATCTGCAGTGGCGGCACTTGGTGGATGGTGAGCTACCATAGGAAGCACTCTGACCCCCCCCCCCCCCCGGTTCCATACACCGCATGGTTAGCTGACCCCAACGACCTCCATGCACCTCAGTTGGGATTCTGGCACTGAACCCGGAGCAGGAGGCCTCGCTCCTCGAGCCCACCATGCCGGCCACGGTCAACGATTCCACCGCTCTCATCCAGCTCGATGTCTTCCATCAATTGCACTGTCTGAACTCCATCCGGAAATATGTCTACCAGCCCGTCGACTGGCGGAACGACAACACGACCGACCAGGCGGCGGTGAAATACATTGTGCACATCAGTAAGCCTGGCGTATCTCCGCGATCTCGAGTGCATCCAATCCAGCTGACCTCCTCTCCAGATCACTGCATTGAGTACTTGCGGCAGGTAGGTATTGCATTCATCCGTGTTTCCTCGGCAAATGAAAGCAATCACTTATTTCTTCGCTTACCTTCGCGGACTAGGCTCTCATGTGCCACAGCGACCTCTCGGTGATTGTGCATTCCCCACGCGTGCCACATCCGGGGCCCGAGTATCCCATCTGGAAGGCCAACTTCTCCACCCAGCATACCTGTCGGAACTTTTGGAAGATCCACGAGTGGGCCAAGCAGTACAATACATCGGGGTTTGAGATTGAAAGATGGCATGATGCGGAATTTGCGTGACTCGGGCGAAGCCCTGAATGAGTCATTGAGCGTATAACCAAGCGGTTAGGGATTTCGGTTCAGTCAAAATCGTGGGGAAACTTTACATGGGTGTGAGGAAGTGGAGGACCTCGGATGTGGTGGTTGATACTTAGTTGGGAAGTGAATCAACAGTACTTAAGCAAGTACAAGTATATATAATACCCGGTATTGAGTTACCAAGCCGCAGTCGGCAATTACGGAGGACTCATGCTTGTTTAATCGTCTTATCATCCTTATCCTCCTAGTCTTACAGTAATTTCCTGGTTGTAATCTTATATGATGTCCCTCCTCCCCCCCTAATGCCATCGTGCCATTAATTTTCTCCCTCCTCTTCCTCCTCCTCCTCCTCCTCCTCCTCTTTCTACCCCTCTCTCCCCTTCATGGCCTACAATTGTCGCAGTAATGACCAGAGATTCGGTCCTTCGCTTTCCGACTGTCTCGTTCATTTCGACTTCACCCTCTTATTTGAACAGAGCATCCTTGGACTAATTCCTTCAATCCTGCTGATTCTCCTGGCACCGCCTCGCCTGGTCCAATTACTCCGATGCCCGAAGAAGGCCCCCATCACTCACCCTCTGGTGTACAGCAAAGCAGTAAGCAAGAAAAAAAAACCCAATTATAAAGACAATTTCCCATCCTCCCACGACCCCCCTCGAACTCTGAATAACCCGTCGCCTAATTTTAGACGGTCGCGATTGTCCTCCTAGGCCTCCGAGTGGCATTGTTGACGCTGTGGAGCATTCGACCCGCCACCTCAGCGTCCATTGCATCGGCTGCCGTGTCGTTGTTGGGAAGCAGCCTCGTCCTCGCACTCTCCACCCTGGAGCATACACGCTCAGAGCGTCCCTCCTCGCTCCTCTGCATCTATCTCTTGCTCGACAGTGTGTTTAATGCAACCCAACTTCGAAGTCTATACCTCCGACGGCACCTGACCGCCATCTCGATTGTCGCCTCCGTTGCTCTGGGGGCCGAGGTCCTGCTGCTCGTTCTTGAGACTGTTGACAAGCGCGCCTGTCTCTACGATGCTTTCCGCAGCAGGTATCCCCCGGAGTCCACGAGTGGGATCATCAATCGGAGCTTTTTCTGGTGGTTGAGCCCGTTGTTCGTTCGTGGCTATCGCAAGAATCTGTCCCTCGGCGACCTCGATCGCGTGGATCAGGAGCTGTCGGCTGGGCCGTTGCATGAGCGCATGCAGGTCGCGTGGGCGAAACGTATGTCCTGGATCCACCACGAGAGGTGAGGCTGACCCCACCGCTAGATCGATCCGAGCGCCGCTTCTCCTTGGTGATCGCCCTCTTCTATTGCCTCAAATGGCCGCTTCTTCTGACGGTTTTCCCCCGACTGTGTCTCATTGGCTTCACGTATGCCCAGCCCTTTCTCATCACCCGGGTGATCAGCTATGTCAGCGATGCGGACTCGACGCGGGATAAGAGTGACGGCTACGGGCTGATTGCAGCCACCGGCTTGATTTACCTGGGAATTGCGGTACAGTCCATTACCACCCCTATCACCCGACGTGCTGGGGGAAAGCGCGAGTATTGACAGTCATCCATCCGTCCATCCATAGCTCTCGACGGCGCATTACCAACACCGCCTTTATCGCATGATTACCATGTTTCGCGGTGCCATGGTCTCGCAGATCTACGCCAAAACCCTGGCTCTCGCGCGAGCTCCGGATGAGTCCGCCGCTGTCACCCTCATGAGCACGGACGTGGACCGGATCGCATTCAGCCTACGCCAGATCGCTGAGGTCTGGGCGCGCACGGTGGAGCTGGCGATTGGATTGTGGCTGCTGGAGCGCCAAGTCGGGTGGATCTGCATTGGTCCCACAATTGCCGTGGTGGGTACGTACGATACCAGTGCCCCCGCTTCCTTTTTCTTCACGTTGCCATGATCCCTGCATTCTAAGCCTTTGTCCTTCTCAGGCGCGTTCTATGCATCGTTGCACGTGGCCAAGAAGATCGGTCCCGCCCAAAAGACATGGGTGGGCGCGGTGCAACGCCGGGTCGCGCTGACTTCCTCCCTCCTCGGAAGCATGAAGAGCATCAAAATGATGGGTCTGTCCGAGCGCATGGCCCAAACCATCCACGGCCAGCGGCTCCGCGAGCTACATCTCGGGGCGAGCTTTCGGGTGTTTGGCATCTGGCGTAACACTATCTGTTGGTCTCACCCTCTTCTCACCAGGATCCTGCGAGAGGGTATCACTAACACCAGTGCCTAGCGATGATCCCGGTGGAGATCGGACCATTTCTGGTCTTTCTCATCTATACCGTTCAGTCCCAGCGGTTGACTACCGACAAAGCGTTCGGGACCTTGGCCATCATCTCCTTGCTGACGGACCCAGCGAGAGAGCTTCTTTCCTCCTACCCAACCTTGGTCTCGGCAATGGGTTGCATCGATCGAATCCACGCCTATCTATCCGCCGCAGACAAACCCAATGGCGACGTTGGTGCAACAATCCATGAATCAGGGAAATCTGGGCTTGTCCTGCAAAGCCTGCCTGCAAAGTCCGTCGATCGGCCCATCGTCGCCTTCCACGAGGCCGACATACGACCGGCGCCAGAATCCGAGACTGTTCTGCACAAGGTCAACTGGCAAGTCCTTCCTGGTTCGTTCAGCTTCGTTGTCGGTCCTGTTGGTTCGGGCAAAAGCACCCTCCTGAAAGCAATCTTGGGCGAGGCTGTCTCCACCCCTGGCAGCATCCAGATCAACAGCCGAGATATCGCATACTGTAGCCAGTCACCATGGCTGCAGAACCTCGTATTTCGAGACGCTATCACCGGCCCCGGGGCCGCCTTGGATGAGGGCTGGTACGCCACTATACTGGAGGCCTGTCTTCTGGATGTCGACATCAAGCGCCTGCCGCAGATGGACACTACTCTGCTCGGCAGCCGGGGTGTGACCCTGAGTGGCGGTCAGAAGCAGCGCGTGGTAGGTGGATTTCCATGTGCGGTGACCTTCGGATGCGATCCCCTGTATTGATAGTGCCCCTCCTAGGCCCTCGCTCGCGCACTCTACAGCCGACGGTCCGTTCTACTGCTGGACGATGTCTTGAGCGCACTCGATGCGAAGACGGAGTTGCAGATCGTGCAAAATCTGTTCGGGCCGGAGGGGTTGCTGCGACGCAATGCGTCAACAGTCGTTCTGGTGACCCATGCCGTCCGACATCTGCATCTGGCCGATCATGTCATTGCCTTGGACCGATCGGGCCACATTGCACATCAGGGACCCTGGACGGACTTCACCCGCGGGGAAGGACCGGGACTGCTGCACGAGGCTGCGAGCGCAGATGTTGGGTTGCAGAATGAGTCTGAGGAAGTTCCTGCGCCAAGCAAGCAAAGCAAACCGCTGCCGAAGGCGCTCCGAGGACCGACCGCGACCGATGTCAGTGACTTGAGTCGGCGGACCGGGGATCTCGCGGTGTATAAATACTACGCCCGCTCGTTTGGGTGGAAGCTCTCTTCAATGATGCTGGTCATGGTGGCGCTCGTTGCCGTCACGACCTACCTTCCACGTATGTTCCGGGGCTCCTGGTGCTATTTTTGACCTTGCGAGCATCGCGGCTAATTGACATGGCAGAGATCTGGCTGGAAATGTACACGACTGGCGCAGTTGGTCGTGTCGGGGTATTTTGTGCGGTCTACGCGGTGATCGCATCTAGCTGCCTTACGGCGTTCTATGTGTCTATGAGGTCAGGATACCCAGCGCCATCTAGAGCCCAGTGGCTGATTCCCATCCACCTCCTAGGATTGTGTTTATCTACCTCATTCCCAAGTCAGGTGGCAATCTGCATCAAACCCTCATCGACACCGTGACGCACGCTACCCAGTCGTATTTCGACACCATCGATAGCGGGGTCATACTCAACCTATTTAGCCAGGACATGTCCTTGGTTGACGCCATGCTGCCAGCCTCAATGATCATCACCCTACAAGGTCGGTGCTGTCTGCGAGTCCAACCAAAGGGGAGTGCCGTCTAACCATGAATCCAGCCCTGGCCAATGGACTGGCCCAGATCGGCCTCATAGCGGCAGGCTCCAGCTACATGGCCTTGACCATTCCGGGGCTCATCTGCCTCGTGTACCTCTTGCAAAACATTTACCTACGCACCTCGCGCCAGATGCGGTTCCTCGACCTCGAAGCCAAAAGCCCCCTGTACACGCACTTTATGGAGACGCTCGAGGGGCTGATGACGATCCGGGCGTTCGGCTGGCAGCACGCGTTCACGATGCGCAGCAACCACCTGCTCGACGAGTCCCAGAAACCGTACTACCTGCTCTACTGCATCCAGCGATGGCTTGACCTGGTGCTGCAGCTGCTCATCGGGACCCTCGCCGTGATTCTGGTCACTCTGGCCGTCACGCTGCGCACGTCCAGCTCGGGCGGGCAGATCGGGCTCGCGCTGAACAGCATCCTCGGCTTCAACGCCACCTTCCAGATGCTCTTCACCTTCTGGACCACCTTGGAGACCTCCCTCGGGGCAATCGCCCGCATCAAGTCTACCGCGCAGCTCACCCCGCAGGAGACCGACGGGGACGCGACCGCCCCACCGACCACCTGGCCGCGCCACGGCGAGATCGTCTTCCAACAGGTAAACGCCGCCTGGACCGCCGACCCGAAAGCCCCACCCTCCCTCCAAGAGGTCACCTTCAGCGTCCCCGCGGGCACAAAACTCGGGGTGTGCGGACGCACCGGCAGCGGGAAAAGCACGCTCCTCGCCGCCCTCCTGCGCCTGCTCGACCTCGACGCAGGACAGATCCTCATCGACGGGCTCGACATCCGGTCCGTGCCGCGAGCCTGCCTCCGCGACCGGATCATCACCATCCCGCAGGAGCCGTTTTTCGTGTCTGGCTCCGTCCGCGAGAACATGACGCTCACCCTGCCTGGTGGCGGGGTGGCACCACCGGGCAGCAACCACCCTGAGGCTTACTCCGACCAACAAATCCAATCCGCACTCACCTTGACCGACCTCTGGGCCAC